ACTACTACTGCTACTACTACTAACTACAGTAGTTGGGCAAACACGGAAAAAACGGACCCTTTGAGCCTGAGAAATTGTGGAACACGCGACGAACAATCACTACCATTAGTGTAGCTGTCGCAATAACGGCAACAAGTACAAACGAAGGCTGCTGTCACCACTGTGACTACTGCGACCCGACTGCTACTATCGTTGTGGGAGGTGCAAGAGAACTTCGTGAAGATCCAGGAAGCTTACGAGCTCCTTTCCGACCAATCAAAGCGGAAACAATACGACTCCAGCTTGGACTTCGATGAGACGCTCGGCTTTTGTGCGTCTTTGCAAACTGCATGTTGTTATTTTCTGCGTTGTTGGCATCCCATGCAGTGCTTCACTAACCAGTCATGTCCAACCTTCTCCATCATTTCCTGTCGTCGGCATCGGCCTCATCACCACCGCCAGTATTATCAACCTGGTGCATGCGGCATGCGGGGCTCAGGAGCCTTCCCAAGTTTCGCCCGGACAGCGGCCAGGACTTTTTCCAGGTCTTCGGCGAGGCCAAGGGAACACTTGTAGGAGGGCGAATGTGCAGCCGAGTTGATTGCAGGTGTTCCGCCGGAATGCTCGTTTCTCTATGAAGCGCCCAGTTCCCGAGTTGGGAAGCTTGGAGGAGTTTGTGCGCGGTTTTGCTGTGCCAGACTCCAGCCGGAATCTTAGCCAGGACGAGCCTCGAGTATGGAAGCGCTTCTACGACTTCTGGTGACCTCGGTGTAAGACTGCCGCTTCGGCCAACTGTCGCATACCTTATGACGAGGTATGGCTTTCAATCATGGAGAGATCCAGCTCGATCCTTACAAGCATGGATCGCAGCACATCCAGCCAGGGAATGGTGTTCGGCACGCAATATGTGACGAGGTGATGCTCGCACAGAAAGCTGGCGAGGAGATCTGTGACCTTGAGGAAGCAGAGTGCCGCGAAGAGAGCAGCGGCGGGCTGGGGCTGGGGCCAGGGCACGCAGTGTCCACGCACTGGGAGGCGCTGGATGATGAGGGAGAACCAGCGTGTGGCCCGGCAGTACAAGCAGCAGGAGCGCGACCGGATCTCCAAGCTCGTCAGTCCGAGGCTGAGAGATTTCCCTCAGAGGAGCCCGAGACTTCCTTGTTTTGGCTTTTGCTTGAACTGTGAGGTTTGGCCGAGTCCTTCGATCCTCGCATTCAGGTCCCCCGCAGCCAAAATTTCGCCACGTTTCACCATGTCTTCAAGCATTGCAGGCAGAGAAAGAGGTGGGACCATTTGTCTACGTGTCGCCTCTTCTTTTGGTCATGCTTGGCTTTTTGTCTGCTAGGCCAAGCGACTGGCTCGCGAAGCAGAGACTGCTCGACGAGAGGAGGAGCCTTGTGGGAATGGGATCCCTTTCCTGAAATTCTGCATGTTGTTTCATTCTGTGTGTTGTTGCGGCGCGGTGTACGAGAGTCCCAGGAGCGAATGGCTGCCAAGCGAGCCAAGGAAGAGGCGTGAGACTCGCAGAACTGACCAATCTCTTAGAATGCGTTTGCCACACAGGGTTGTGCGAGTGTGTTTCACAGTTACGCAGCCACGATCAGCGTGAAACCCGGTGCAAGACGGGTGCCATGCAGTGTGGAAAGCCCTCTCCAGTGGACCTCTCCAAGAGACTTGCGGCCATCGAGCATCGTCCCTTGGATGTTTGCAGTGTGGCTGCAGTGCGGTCTGGCGGGTGAAACAGCTTTCCAAGGTATCGAGGATGTACTTCAGACGCTGCGACAGGACACATCGCGGCGATGTGCCATTTCGTTGTCCGCTGAGCAGCGCATGAGCCTCCATGGGATCTCTCTCGTGTCCCTGTGTGGTGTCAGAATACGGCGGGTCGTAGTCCTGAGCTCAATCGATCAGCTTCCACTTCAAGGGCGTTTTGACAGACAACGGTGTCATGCAGCATCGAGGGTGAGATGATTTGTCTAGTGAGTCGAGTGACTTGTAAGCTTCAGCAACCTTGTGACACGGATGAAGACCGAATCTTGGTAGCCCTGCTGTAGGGTTGTGTTCGGGCTTGCCTTGGAGGCCAGTGTGCGTTCCTGTCGGCATTCGAGGGCTCTGGGCCGTCTGGTTTTTCAGACGGTCTCAGATTCTATTATCATTCCGACTCGTTTGCACAGTCTTCTTGAGCCACTGGTTTTCGGCCTGCACGATTGGAGGTTATTGATAAGTTGCCACCACGCCTCGGGGTTGGAGAAAGGCAGGCCAAAGGCCAGAGAGAGGAGAAAGACTTGAAAGACAAGACGATCTTCAAACTTGCATCGGCAACTGCTCGCGAGAGGCAAGCAAGGCAGCCCCCTGGATCCTGAGTCTCGTGACAGGGTCCTGTTCGTCTGCTTGCCAGGACCACAACATCACGGAGGGGCTCTTGCGGCAGATGGAGGCGACCTTTAGCCGCATCTGCGAGGGCCACGGCCGCGATGGCTCGCTCTCCGCCTCGCCGCGGAAGCCGCAGAGTGCGCTCGTGCTGAGCGCCCGGGGGGCAAAGGAGGCTAACCAGGTCAACCCCTCCGGGAGGACCTCCGAACGCAGTTCCTTCAAGGACCTGCGCGCCATCCTCCGTTCTGATCGTGTGGAGGCGGAAGCCATGGAAAGCCTGCCGCTTCTCAAAGTCGAGAGGGCGGAAGATCGGCACAAGCGGAACAAGTACAGCACACTGAACCTCGAGAGTATCGGTATTCCCTTCCAGGAACGACTAGCACGTGCCCAGATTCCGTTGGAGATTTACAGCAAACAGTCTTGGATGTCAAAGGCAGTCACGGATTTTCTGGAAGATCCAGACTCCAGCACTTTCGCCTCCTACTACTTCTACGGCATTTCCATCTTCACACTGCTAGGAATGCTGTTCGCATTTTTGCCGGCTCTGAACATCGAGCTTGCTTCAGCCTACAAGGATTTGATCAATATTCTCATCGATTCCATCTTATTGGCGGAGACCGTCATCCGATTCCTCTGCTATCCGCACGCGGCAATGATTTTCTCTGGCGAGCAGCGCTGGGAGAACCTCATCGACTGCGCGAGTGCGCTTCCTGTTCTTCTCCTCGTCTCTTGGATGCGGCGTGCGACAGTGTTACTGTTTGCTTCGTTGTGGTGCTAATTATGCTCTGAAGTAACCAGCCTGTCTGCACGTGAGCGGCTGCCTGCCGGCCGAAAACCAGGTGCTGAAGGATAAGTTCGGGGAAGACTTCGGGTCCTTCGGCGATGCCTTTCTCCTGGCTGCGATGCCCATGATACGATTGCTGCGGCTGGTGCGGCGCTTCACTTACATGCAGCTCTTGAAAGCCGCTACATGGCAGCAAGTCGCAACGACCACTTTCAACGCCAAGGCTTCGCTTATGTGGTCGGTGTACAGCATCCCGAGCCCAATATGCTGGCGTGCATGCAAAGCCAACAAACGACGATTTTGCACCGAAGTTGACATTCCGGAACTTGATGGTTTGCTCATTGAGCAGAGTTGATGCTTTTAAGCACCGTCTAAAGCATGAAGCAGCGGAGCTGTTTCGGTGGAGTCAAGCATCGTCATGAAGCGTCAAGCACACAGTCCCTTGAGTCAAAAGGCTTCGGCTCCCGTCCTGAGGATGCATGGTTTGCAAAGCTGGGAGATTCCCTTCTAATATAGGGGCCAACTGGTAGGCTTTGTAGCAACGTTCGCGAGAAGAAGAACCTCTACAAACCCGGGAATCCAGGAAGCTTTCAGGCTCAGGTTTGCCACCAGGGCCAGGGCCTTGGGGTCGGGGCGGCTTTTGGGACCAAGGGACCAAGACCTGAGCAGCTGGCCGGTGCAGGGATCCGGCTCCCGCTTTCTTGGAGGAAAGATGTCGCCCCAGGACGAGGGCAATAGTTGAATAGTTGAATAACAGCATCACCAAAACAAGACCACAACAAGAAATAAGGAACGCACGAGCGAAAGGACACAACAGCAGAAAGCAGGAGCGAAGCACAAGCAGAAAACAAGAAGAAGGAAGAGTTGCACAATTCAAGAAGCAACATACGCACATAACGACAGAAACACTTAGTGAACGAACGAACCAGTGAGCCAGCGAGCGAAAGAGGGAGCCAAGAAACCTGAGAGAGAGAGAGAGAGTGGCTCCAGACGCCTTGCAAGCAAGCAAGCAAGAGAGAGTGAGAGAGAGAGGGAGAGAAAGAGCAGATAGGAACGAGCAGGGGCAAGCAAGAGCAGACAGGAACAACGAGCAGAAGGAAAGACAGAGCGAGCAAATGCCGAAGGACGGAAGAGCGAGCTGCAGAACGGAAGGAAGGCAGGAAGGAAGGACGGAGGAAGAAAGGAGCAAATGACCGAAGGCAGAGCGACAGAAAGAAAGACCCAAAGAAATAAGAAGCGAAAGAAAGACATAGCAAGAACGAGAGAAAGACAAGGAAAGATATGTACGTTGTGTCTCTTGTGTAGTCGTTGACTATCTGTGTCGCAATTTTCTTGGTCTCTCTCCATGCCCTTCTGATGCCCACAACTGAACCCAGGGAGTCTCAAAGCTCGGAGGATCGAACTTGTTCCTGCTGACAAGCCGGGTGCAACATGCTTATCGGGCTTTATGTCTGCATGCGGAGACCACGTGCTCCTGCCTGCTCGCTCGAGGCTTTCCGAGACTGCTTGGAGGCTTTGCCGGTGATGCTGTATATCATGATCGTCATGGCTTATGGTTTCACATCGCTGCTTTACCTGGTTGAGCCGCGTGAAAACATGCCCACAGTGGCTCATGCAGCGTGGCTCGTGATTTCGACCATTACGACAGTTGGTTTTGGCGACGTGGTTCCCTCTACCCAAAGCGGCTTGGTCTTGACCTCGGTTCTCATGGTTGTGAGCTCATTGTATATGGCCATGCCTTTCGGGATCATCGGACACTCCTTCACCCAAATCTGGGGAAGCCGTAAACGGATTCTTCTCTTGCAGAAGACCCGAAGCCGTTTGCACAAGTGGGTACCTGGGCTGCACGGAGGGCTGTTGGAGATGTGCGCAGTGGACAAATGATTTGCTGCAGTTCCTGTTGCTCCAGGGGTTCGGTCCTCACGAACTGCCACGGCTCTTCGGACTCTTCGACCTTGACGATAGTGCCGAGGTGCCCCCTGCGAGCATGTCTCGTTGATCTTGAGCTTGTGCCCTTGTGCCCTTTGCAGATCGATTTGCCTGAGTTCAAAGTCCTGCTGCGGGGTTGCAAAAAAGTTTGAGAGAGTTTTTAGGGGAGCTTCTCTCCTTGGGCCCCGCCACATTTTCACATCTCTGACCGCTCCGAGGCTCAACGAGATGGACATCGGCTTTAAGGATAAGGAGATTACGGAGTTGTTCAAGCTGATCGACAAGGAGCCATTTTGGGCATCGTATAAATCCGCGGGGCACCACGCAGAAGCCGGGCGCACCGCTGTCAGGATTCAGGAGGTACTATCGACGAGAGAGAGTTCGTCAAGACCTTGTATCCCGATGAGTACCGCGAGTTGCAGCTTGGGCGAAGTTGTATGTCGGAAGTGTAGGCAGGGACTGACAATCAAGTCAGTGCAGCAAGGTACCCCAAAAAGAGGCATGACTCAATGGCCGCGGATGATGAGCACTGATCCAGCATAGGCGGTATACATCCAGCAGTTCGAGCAAGGTCGACCAAAATCGTGTCTGCAGCGCCGCGCTGTTTCACCGACTGCCTGCGTACTGCAGCGTCCATGCGCTTGACGGCTTGACTGCGGAGCCTAAATAGTGTGTCTCAGCGGCGAGCGAAGCGAAGATCCGAAGAGCGAAGCAGAGCGAAGCAGAGCGAAGCAAAAGCCCCCCCCACTCCTTGAAGTCTTGGGGGCCCCGGGGCCGGGTCCGGGCAGGCTGAGCGGCAGCAGCGCGAAGCCGAAGAAGCGCTCCGCCTGGTCGCTCACCTGCTCCCTGCTCCCGATGCAGACACATGGCGCTTGGCCCTCTTTCTGCCGCATCCACTCGCAGGCAGAGGAGCAGAAGCGGAAAGAGGAGAAGGCCAAGAGGGCCGCTGGCCCAGCTGGCTCAGTCGCTCAGTTCAGGAATGCCCCGTGTGCACCAGCCTAGGAGGCCGTGAAGGTCCGGATCTTAGGCTGTCACTGTCAGGTGTGTTGTGGGTAAAGGACAGCGGGCCCAGGAACGGGTGAAGAAGTGTCGGCAGCGGCTCCGAAGCTTCCATCCGGCCCCTTGACTCCGTGTGCTACGTGCTACGGTGCTGGGTAAGCATGGGTAGGAGGTAAGAAAGCAAGGACTTCAAACCTTGGCAGGCCGTCAAGGACCATGTGGTTCTCGAGCAGCTGAACGAAGTGTGCTTGCAGTTCAGCGCTGCTTGGACTACGTGTCGTTGCTCTCTTCGGTACTCGCTTCAGTCATTTTTGCTCGGCCCACTTCGGTATTGCGGCATCCACAGACCGCTGAGCCAAGGAAGAGCAGTTGAGGGAGTTGGGCAACCAGATCGAGGAAACCTTGAAGGAAAGTAGCCCCCTTGCAGCGGCCAACATCTTCCACAAGGCTCGGTTTACGACCGAATCCCAGTATCACCAAGCCTACTAGTTACTAGTTGTCCTTTGGTTGTCCTTCTGTAACTGGGTAGTTTGTGATGGGTGGCGTGACGGGTGTATGCAAAGCACAGCTTCAAAGTTGTGTTCCATGAGTGAGTTGGTGGGAATCAGAGGTGAACCAGCAAGAAGCAGAACAGGTTGCAGGTGTAAATGCGGGTGCGCATCATCTACAGCCACTCGTGAGCTGGTCGTGGTTTCAAGTTGACACCGCAGAACAAATCCACTTGCTTTGTTGAGACGGCCCCCGCCCGCCCGCCCCGCCCAGGCGATCGAGTCCATCGGCCTTACCCCAATGAAGGTCCGGGTGGCCGCCGGCATAGCAGCATAGCAATGTGAGCACGCTGTCCGAGGTGAGCGAAGACACAGCCAGCACCACAAGCGGCCCAACCGACTCCCAGGAGGCAGAGCCAGGTCGCCATGTGGTCGCCCTGAGCGGACAGAAACTTTTGGAACAGGAGGCGCCGAACCAGCGCGAGTCGAGCGAAGAACGACGGAGAGCCTGGAGCCCAGATCAGTTTTCCTGCACTGCTTGTCGACGGTGTGCTTCTCGCACTGCGGCAATGTGGCGCGCAGACATGCCTTGAAGGTTGAGGTGAACACGTACCGGCCACGGAAACCGGTTCTGGCTTCTGACCTTTCAGCCCGTAACTGCTGGAGAAGAACAACCCCAGTAACATATGGGGTTGAGCCTATTGAACAAGGCGGCCTTCGTAAGTCTACCTGGTTTAAGCGTAGACGCGGTAGACGATGGCATGTCAAATTGAATCTGAGGCCAAAGAGAACCAGGCCCGCTGTCGTGCAAGAAGACCGGCTAGCATTGTTGCTAAGTTGCTAAGCCACGGCAGGCCAAAATGCGAATAGTTGAAGAGCAGCAGGCAGCAGAAAAAGCTCGATTGGCCGCTGAGAGGGCAGAAGAAAAAAAGAAAAAAGAGGAGCAGAGCAACAAGAGCTTTCTCAGCAGCTCCGAAGGCATGTCGTATCCGGGCAGGAACAGCGAAGAAAGGATGCCGAGCCTTGCCTGCAAAGTGCCAATCTGCGGCAGAGTTGTGCACTGGTGGTTCTGTTTTGTACAGGTTGTAATGATTCTCGGCATCGTTCTCGGGTCTTTTGAGGCATTTTGAAGTTCTCTTGAAATCTATCGGCAGTGAAGTCTGTGCCTGTCGAAGGAGGCGCATCATCTAGGATTCAACCCTGTGGCTTGTGGAAATCAACGGGGGCGGCTGTGGGAGCTCTGTTAGGCAGTTTTTTGTGGTTAGTGATGGCTGCGATGCACCACGCGAAGTTCATCACAGATTGCCGGTGCAGCAGGTGCGGCACAGAAGTAGGTCGCGCGAAAGCGGTTCGAATGAGGTCTCGCTCTGGTAGAGTGGGGGAGGGCGACCGGTCAGTGCGCATCGGCAGAGGGGATGTCTTCGGGTTGATGCGCGCAGATACGATAAGCCGGGTTAAGCAGGTCGGTTTGAGAAGTTGCGCCTTACCGTGAGCAGGCAACCCAAGCCCCAAGCTTCAAGAAAGCGGCACGCTCGCGCTAACATGTGTTCCGCTGTAAAGCGGCAGCGAGTTGTCAGAAGGGTGGCGGATCTGTCCCTGCTTAGCAAAGGCCGCAGCGGAGGTGGGCCAGTTTTCAGAGTTGAGCGAATTCGTGAGTTCCGTGGGAGTTTGCTGGCTGTCCTTCGGCTTTACCGATTCAGTGCAGGCTGCTAGGCGGCAGCAAGAAAAGAAAGAAGAGTTGCTTCTCGAAAGCACTACGGGCCCTGGTCTCTTTGTTGTGTCGTTGCAATTCCAGTGGTCACCAGGAAAGCAAAAAAGGCAGAAGAGAAGCAAAAGAAGCAGGCAGGTGCTGGAATGGTGTTCTTGGCCGCCATCGCTGTCAGAGCCGAAGGAAGACGAGGAGAAGGCTCGAAAAGAGCAGCAGCGTGAATTGGCCAAGCAAAAAGCACAGGAACAGGCAGCTTCACTGTTTCGTGAGAGACCATGTGCCGCGACAGATGCAGTTTTCGATTCAGTCGGCATGGACGCTTCCGACTTGAGCTAGCTGGAGTTTTCAGTGCAACACCTTGGATTCCACCATGTTGCAGCACATGCATTTCTGTCCAAGTAGGTTGAAGCGTCTGATTTTACAAAACGAGACATGTGTGCTAACCAAAGAGTGTGTGGAGGCAACTGTGTGAACGACTCTGCAGACAGCCATGACCTTCACATCATTGTGCTCATCATGTTAACCCAGGCATTCAACATGCAGGTACCTTGCCGGTTCTTGACAAGCCTCCGTTTTTGCACAGCCTCATCGACTCTCACACGATGGGCAGCATGAGTTGTTTGGATCGCAACCATTACGCTGCTCGTGTGGTCATGCGAAGCTCGGTAGGGCAGCTGGCATATCGCACTTCTTGCGCCAGCTGCTTCCTACGCATGACGATCTTTCTCACCACGCCATGCGTTCGTGAAGTGTTCCCTTCATTTTGCATGATGCCGAACTTTGCATTCATTCTGGAAAACGCGCCGCGCGGCATCGAACCGAGTTTCGGGTGAGTTCCAGAATTATTGTGGGCATTTTGTAGCTTTCCTGTGGTTCGCCCAGTTCGCCCTTGTCCTTTGTTGTCGTTGGTGTTGTCATGTTTTCTGTCAGTCTGGATTCGGTTGTCGTTCACGTTGTCGCGGGCAAAGGGGGCCCGGTGGGGCGGGTGGGGGGGACGACTCTGGGAGGACACCGAGGGCAGGCGTCGAAACTGGCAGATTGAGGTATGGTCATTTGATTGCTGTTTTGTTTGTGTTTGATTTTTTTGTAATTTTAGTTTTGTGTACACATATTGTCATTTTCTGTCAATCTGGGTGTCGTCCCCCGCCTGCCTTGCCATGTTGGGATGCTTTTGGAAAAGCAGACCATGGGACCACTGTGCATGCCCTTTGCCCTGCTACGAGTCTCGGAAAGCTTAGTGCAGACCAGTACCAGCTGCGTAAGAATTACAATCATCACAGATGAACGGCAAAACATTTCAAAAGAATGACAAGCGGTGAAACCACCAAATGACAAACTTAACAACAATGACAATTATGTGGCAAAATAGATTAGATCTTTGAAGGCTGGGATAGGTTGGGAGGGGGCAGGCCATGGCAAGCCTGCGAAGCTCTGTGGCTTTTCTACGTGCATTTAACCACATGCGCGTGTGCTGACTTTGCAAAAACGCAAAGTCCAGCAGAGCCCATGTCTGATATGTTCATGTTCACCGGGTCGACCATCTAATTTTCTGTTTTGTCTCCTACATAACCAGTGCTGGCGAATCTTGTTCTCACCTGAACAACTTGGGCCGCAACTTCTGGCTGGCCAGCCAAGACGCAAGCTTATTTCCGGCGTGTGCGAGAAGTTGTTGTGTGAGGCACAGAAAGACCGACAGGCCGCCCAAGCGGAGAAGGAGGCAGAACCGGGAGTGAGGTGAGTTCGGGGAGAAGACTCCGCCAAACCCGCAGCGGTGTGTCCATGTCAGAAGCTGGAGTTGGAGCGGCTGATCAACCTCTTCGCCAAGGACAGATTAGACAGGCCGGCTTTGCATTTTGACGAGCGCAAGCCCAACACTTCCCGAGTTCAGGCTGGCCAAGCTTGAACCTCTCTCGGATGAGAAGCTGGCGGCCTCTCTACAAACAGAAACTGAGGACAGCTCCCTCGCGGGTGCGTGGGTGCCTCAGCTCCGGCTCACCGAAAGCGCCACAAGCGCCACAACACTACAGCGCCACGTCTCTTGTCAGCCAAGGCTTCTGATGGTGAAGGACAAGCTCGTGACCTGTGAGGACAGCGACTCGGACCCACTGGAGCGAGCCATCGCCCTTGCCGGGACCCAGGGTCCCATTGTGCCCTGTGGCTGCGGAGCAGAGTGCATGACCTTTTTGGAGTTCAGGTCAGTGAAGCGGCTGGGGGCAGGGGCGTCTGGCCCCTGGCCTTGACGGCCCCCGCGCACCTGCGCCTCGAGAATGCACTCCGCAACCGGGCGATAGCCTCAGCAGGAGTGAGTCTGGTTGCCTCCTTGGGTCTCGATTTTCCGTTCGAGGTGAAGAAGGCCCGAAACCGCCTGAGAGAGGCAGTGAGCTCCTTCTTGAAGTCGCCACAGTCTTGGAAGGAGAAGATAGTTGGTGGATTGAGAGCAGAGATCACCATCAGGTCTAAACTGCCAAATGCCGATCAGAACGCTGTCACGGAGTGGCAGCGCGGCATTGTGGATGGCACGCTTGAGCTGCCCCCTTGGTCGCCGCAGGACGGGGCCCGGACGGGGTGGGGCGGACGGGGACCGGGAAGGAAACCGGCCAGTCTCGTGCAGGAGTCGGAGCCGAAGGCAGCAGGCTGACCGCATCTGACCGCCAGCCGGGGCCGAAACTGCCAGTGCTGCGCGCCCTTTGCGCCTGCGACAGGCACCGAGAAGAAAAAGAAGGAGAAGCCGGTGGAGGCTCGTGGCACGTGGCGCTGTGATCTTCTCCACATGCCCCACGCTAGGAGGACTTGGATCAGATTTTGGCGGAGTTCGACAGCTCACCACCCAAAAGCAAGAAGCCGGGCAAGAAGAAGAAGTGACGGTCAGCAGGGCCCACTTGAAGCTCATGTTTCACACCTGCACGTGCCTCAACATGTTGTGCACGCAGCCTGCACCAACAAAACATTCAGAGTTTTGCGGCATGTTGCAGCATATTGCAGTAAGGGCAGGGGGCCACAAAGGTGGCATTGATACAGGCGGCATCCGTCAGTGTCTTCCACGTAACCCTGCTGTTGAGTGCCACATGGCACGGACAGCTGTCTGTGCCAGGGTTCGGGGGCCCCGCTGGAGGATTTGATGCCTGCTCGATAAGCCGGGCATCCCGCGATCCCGCTTAGCACACTCCCAGCATTTTCCCGTGAGCGGCTCCAAATGGGAGACGCTTCGCACAAGCAATCCTACATTTGCTCGACAGGTAGGCTTAAATTGCATTTAACAGTCGGCTGCATAAAAGTCTGCAAACCAGCTTTAACACGTCCTTCGAAGCGGTGCATGTGCCTTCTTTTGCCATGGCTCCACGTTTGGATTGTGCATTGGTGTCGGAGTGGGGGGGGGGGCAGGGCGACCAAGAAATCCATGTAACCACCATTGTTTCGCCTCGCAACTTTGATGAAATAAAGTACTTGGAGGAAGTGTGGCAGGAAGAGTTGTTCACTTGGATTCCTTGGCAAATGCCAGCTCCGTGTCGGGGATCCTGCCGAATTTGCTCATGGTGCTGGAGGCGTGCGCAGACTGCCCATTCAAGAAGTCAGTCTCCTCAAGTCGGGTAGCAAGATTTGAGTTGCGAAGCCCCCTTGACGCTCTAGATTTGAAGCCCTTCTGTATGTTTCCAACGTGCATTCAACAGTTCAAGGGCATGCGCTCGAGATTTCGCAGAGCCTGGTCTTCGCTTTTGCATCGGAGGATTCGCACCGCACTTGACTTCCAAGAGAAAGCTCAACTGGTCCACGAATGGGTTCTATTCGTGTTGCTATGCCAAAGCCCCCGGGGGCCGCTGCTAGAGTCCTATAAAGTTCCCAGCTTCTGCAGGCCGCGACTGCTGGTGGTATGCTTGCCGCAGCTTCGGCGCTTGGCGGCGAGGTCTTACAAGAAAGCGCTCCATGTGGTGCGTTTCTGCCCCGCACTTGGATTCTGCTTAAGGTGTGTTTTCCGTGCTTGTTGGCAGGTTTGGACTTTTTGGACTTTCGCGAGCAGTTTGATACTCGCCATCTTGATAGGTGTCGTCGGCTCAGCAGCTCGCGTTGGATGTGAAGCATTGATGCGACCTTGGTTCCCTGTGTTTGCCAGGCGTTTCTCATGTCTTCCGTTGGCGTCAAGGGGTGCCTTGCCTGTCCGAGAAGGATTCGTTTCATGCGAGGGTTCGGGATCGAATCCAACATGATTCGGCAGGCTGCCAGCGATGCCGCCACGGCTGCAGCCAGCCTTGTTGAATTCGATGAGGAGGCCATCACATCCGTCCGCGTGGCTTCCAAGTCCACGAACAAGCGCAGGATTTTTTGTCGATGGGCATGCCGGAGCAGCCCCACTTGGAGGGAGGGTGCGCATCCGAGCATTGCTCAGCGGTGAGTGATTTCAGAAGCGTCTGCCCTCAGGTTTCAGCCGCCCAACAGACTTATTCACAGCAACAGTGCTGAAGCTTTCGATTTCGACAACGAGACGCTCGTTGGCAGACGGACATCGCAGCAGGTGCAAGTTTCATGACGGAACTAAGGAACTGCAAAGGCCAGTTCCTACCTCTGCATCGTCCAACGTACGATAGGTGCTGACATGGTTAGCTCATGTAGATCACCCCTTTTGCATCTTGCAGCACCCTCCGCGCCTGACATCTCCATCCCTAGCGGCGTCTTTGTGCAGTCGACTCAACGAATCGGGCCAGTACCGATATGGCGAGCACTTCACTGGCAAAAAGCCACATCTGGCATGTTTGCTGCGCGAAATGGCCGTCTCGTTTAAGTGGAATGTGATCGGAAGGCGCTTGTGGGAGCTCCGCTTGCGCCTCCAATTCAAGAGACGGCTAAACCAGACGGATCTTTTCTTTGCAGCTGAGCTCGAGGACCCGCCGAATTCCCGGAGGCTGCAGAAATTCCGTGTGACCAGCTGCAAAACTGCGAGGAGTACGTGCCGCTGTCGGCTGCGACGAAGCCTGGATGCTCAGAGTCCGCTCGGAGTGCAAGGGCGCTCTCTAACAGTTATAACAGAGTCAGAGTCGCACGTCGGAGACGAGGCGTGTGATGGATCTTTCAGCGCCTTAGCCGCCTTTTCCGCCTTTTCCGGCTTGGCCTCCCAGACAAGTCGTACATGCCGAGGTTGGTGGCATGCGCCAGGTTGTCGGTGATCGGCTTTACCATACCCCTGGTGATCCTGCGGAGGATGCGAGAAACGGATGAACGACGTAGCTTCGTGAGCTCTTACTGCTGGAGGTGGTGGGCGAGCGAGAGCGTCCCGCGATCGCGATGCCTTTGTGGGCCGCAGCCCAAGCAATCCGGGCAGCAATGCGGCAGCAACGGCAAACGAATAGCAGTCATGCGATGAGACCTTCGACCAGTTCATCGAGACACCTGAGGGTGAGACGCCACCCGAACTGACGGATCCCAATCTCCATGCACTTGACTCAGTGCAGCGGGCGGAAACGCACACTGCTCCTCCTCGCTATGGTAAGGAGCATGGCCACAGAAGGTACGGTCAGCTGCGAGAGTACCGTCGAATGGTGGACTCGTTGGACCTTAGGCGCGAAGGGCAAAGGGTAGTGAAAACTCGAAAAGGGGAAACTTTTTCGACGGAGCAGTACGCTGCCAGGCCCGGGCCTACCTTCACTTTCTGCTTCTGGGGAGTGAGCCGCTTCTGCGACGTCATCGAATGGCAGGTCGGTGTGGTGATTTGTTGATGTGATTTGCTTCTGCCATTGCTGCAAGGCCACAGGCATCCCGATCTTCACGCCGCTGGATCTCAATCTCTACTGTGGCAGACCTCCACTTCACTTGGTGCTCTACACCTTGGAAGGCGCAGAAAACGTGTGAGGGAGCCGCCGGGATGCCTCTTTCTCCAGAAGGTGCTGGAGAAGAGAAGCGGCATTTGCAGTCTCGGAAGACTTACTTCTTCCGATGTGGATTTTGGAGTTCACTGAAGCGCCCAAGCAAGGAGCAGCGCTGAGAGTTTTAGAGCGATTGGACGCAAAGCAATGCAATGCAATGCAATGCAATGCAGGAAGTGGTGACGTACTTTGCCGGGCGATCGATTGAACGGCTCCGATGCTCGGAGCCCGAATTCAACCTCGCATCGGCTCGAGGTGTGTGTGTGTGTGCCGCCATGCAGGTTCCTCCAATCCTCGGAGGAAGCACAACTCAGGATCTCCAAGTTCATCGATCTTCGGACTAAATGTCTTTCAGCCCTCAGCTGAGACTCCACAGAGCCTTCGCGAGCCGGGGTGATCGGTGTCTCTGAGGTGTTGCGATCAAGATTGCAGCTGATGGTCAAAGCGCCATCGAAGGCGAAGGGATCCGACAGGCCAAAGTCCGCTGTCGGCCCAGAGTTGCCATCGGCTCACTCGGAGCAGATGTTGCGAGAAGTGAAATGATGCCGCCGCAATGATGTGTGTTTTTGGTGCTTTTGCATTGTCGCTTGAGTCCGCTGGGTGTTCTTGTTGCGACTCGGCCCTCTCGGCTGCCTCCGCTTGAAGACCAAATTCTGGTTCCACATCGGGCTGGAGCCTTTGGCTTAGAAGCATTGGCCGTCTGTGGCCTTTGAAGTTTGAAGAGCTTTTCCTTGTTTCCGAGGTGTCGGGGCCATGCCGTATGAGATATGTGTCAAGAATCGGCTCTCCCACAGCACCATGATTTCGCTGCTTTCCGAGCTGCGAGTTGCGACAGTACATCTATGTAAGGCAGCAGAACATCTTGCTCTTGACGGTTGAGGACCGGCTGATGAAATCACTTGAAACAGGTGAAGCAGAAGCTGTCTACTTGCGAGGAGACAGACACAATCCATGATCTGAAACAGGACGTGAAGGCATTCCTCAAATTGCACATAGAACGGCGGACTGCACAAACGCAGATTTATGCTTCAGGCCAGGGTGGGCGACGCGACTTGGAAGCATTACAGCGCTTAAATCGCAAGGCCGCAAGGCCGCAAGGCCGCAAGGCTTGTGGCTTTTTTGTTCATCCGTGTTAGCCGATTTGTGGAAGGCCGAGGAGCCTTTGTTTTTCAATGGTGTGGAGCTCTTGGATGAGGAGACGAGCGTTTTCCGTGACCGTTGCAGCATCAAGTCAAGTGTCCTTGCGGCCTTGCGCATCGCAGGAAGCAACCCTCTTGGAGTACAACATCGTCGGCGCCCTGAGTTTGGGTCACTCGCAAATCGGGGGGGGGGGGGTTAAGACGGTGCAGTGAGGTTCCGGACGAGTGTCCTGGAGGCCCCATTGTGCACTTGGGAGGCTGCGCAGCCTTTGACCTCGAGTGCCTTGGGTGAAACTTCGGAATCAGGATTAGTGCTTCCATGTCCATGCAGGTGACTGCATGCGTCGCTCGTGTCTTTCGCCCTACCGATGGCATGCCTGGTGAGGTGCGAGCTCCCTTCGGGACGACAGCTCAGGGAGCGGGCACCACGGGCACCAGGAGCTGCGATCAGGGAGACGTCTTGGCCCGGCAGGAGAGCGTCACGGGTGACACCACCGTAGCGCAGCTGAAAGGCCGGATCACTTCCGAGGCGCGCCCTTCTCTGCGCGTAATTACTGGCTGCTAGGCTGCTAGGCTGCTAGCTGCCTTGCTTTCAGTGTCTTGTTGAAGATTCTTCATTGAGGCAGGCATACCCTACCTTTGCATGAAGCTCCTCGCGGGCGATCTCGAACTTCGGGACCGGGATTCGGGATGTGATGATTGCGTCATTGCGTCATGAGAGCTGCCAGGACCCGGTGTGTCTTCGGCACTACGATCTGGCAGGGCTGGGTCTGAGAGTCGTGACGACCCGGCGGCTCTACGCCGGCCCAGCGGCTTAGCGGGCGCCAACCGCCAACCGCCGTCTGAGAAGTCTTCCTTCAACGGAAAAAGAGAGCTCCGTGCTCTGAGGGGGAGGGAGGGGGGGGGCTCCGGGCTCGGGCCTTTGCTCAAGCCTCCTTTTCTTCTCCTAAGCTTCCTGGGGGAAGCGGGAAGGGCAAGATTGTCGCTATCGCAAGCAAGCTTGTAGTGCAAACGAGTTGTTTGGTATACGGTATGTGCATGTAACTGACATTGACTGTCATTGGAAGGGCTTCGTGGAACGGAGACAAGAAGCTGTTTGGTAGGGAGGGCTGCGGTGATGGACGCAGTGCTGCCTGTTATCGACGAAAATGGGCAGCGAAGGCCTGAACAGAGTGAGATAGAGTCAGTGAGTCCATCGCACCGCTTTGGACCCTGCTTTCGCCCTCTTCTAAGGCCCTTACATCGATTTACACTTTGAGGATGGGCAAAAGGCCCCGGGGCCGGGCACTGAGACCTGAGACCCGCTGCATGCGCAAAGGCGCTTCGTCACTTAAAGTCTTCTTCTTCTTCTCTTCTTGCGTCCTTTCGACCACGGACCTTTTGGGCGCACTGTTTTTTGGCGGCATCAGGACAGGTGCTGTGCCCGTGCCCACCATCGCAGAGTTGGTGTTACCTTGGAGAGGGCAGGAGCCTGCAAGGGGCCTTCCCGAATCATGCCGCTGTTGTGAACCTAGTGAGGACGCGGACTTCCCCGACTTCAGGGAAGTGGTTGCAGCACTTTTCGTGCTGCTTCACAAATATAGCCACCAAGAAGACCTGGCATTGGGCCTCCTGAACGTCCAGGCCAAAGCAGCTTGGAAGCAGCAGGGTACTGCCGAGCGAGCACAGCAGTAGGCCGCTGTGCGAAGGAGGGGCTACCGAGAAGCACGCGAACCGTGAGGGTCACAGAGGCGCCCTCGACAGTAATCGTATAGTGTCGCTGTCGCCCGGGGATTCCTCAATAACACGTCCAATTGAGGTGTCCTCCTGTTCCTTCGAGGACTTGAAGGCAGCGAAAAAAACATCGTGTTGCCTTCTGCTGCGGAGAGCGCGCCGCGCTTCGCCCAAACGTCGCAGAGGTCGCTGCTGGCGAAGCCGAAGCCAAAGAAGCCGCCGAAGCCGCCGAAGTTACCCAGGCGCGTTCACGGGCTTTCACTTTGCACTTCCGTGCCAATGCCCAATGCGGCGAGTTTCGAGGTCCTGGTTGGAGACGGAGATGCTCAGGACGCTGCTCGGCCGTGCGATCTATCGCGTGCTGCTTTACTATACTTTGCTTGGCTTTGCGCCTATCAGCCTCTCAGCCTATCTCTGGCACTTGGCAGTGAGGACTTTGCAGGCGTGTGTGGCACCGCCCCAGCAGGCGCAGCCGTGCAGCGAGTGCTGTGCACCCACTCATGGCACTTGCCTCACTCGCCTTGTTTCTTGATTTGCTTCAGCTTTGCAGGTTTCGAGCTCATGGTTTGCAGGTGCTCGGGGCAGGATGGCAAGGTGATGAAGTTCCTTGGCACTCGAACCATTAGACCAGTTTTGCTGTCATTGGACCTGGAAGGAGGTGAATGCCCGTACAATGTACAAAGCTCTGAGGTGGGTTTGGCGAAGGTCGTGCTTCTCGGAGACTTTCGTTCGACGCGCACAGGAGAGGCAGAATGATGAGCGCATGTTTTGCAGACGGCCCGGAGCAAGGATCACCTCGGCCGCTTGCTGCAGCTGGGGCGTGGTTCTGAATCGCGTGTCCGCGAGTGGGTGTGGACTTCGCAGAGAGAGGACACTTGTGCGCCAGAGGTAAGGTTTAACCGTTGTAAAGGCTGAAGCGGTCAGGACCGGCAGGTCCTCGGAAGCTTCAACCTGACCACCACCACTTCCAGCTGCGAGACATCAGTTCTGGACCTCGTTGCACAAGTGGCAGCGGACATGCCCGCGCATTCTGCTGTGGTGCGTGCCCCAGCGCATGCCTGCTTGCAGTGCATGTTCTGGTTCTTCCCTGCTCGCCAGGTTCAGGACGGTGACATGCTTTCTCCCCTGAGCTACGCACAGCTTTGGTCCCTGGCCGGCCGAGTGGCGGTGGCCGCTAGACAGGCATGTCACGGTCGAGCCTTCAGTTGACAGTGTACGACCCATGCCGGAAAGGCTCTGCCCGATGCAGATGTCGGTGCAGTCGCGATCCTGCTTGCTCGTGGCGTCTCAATGGCATCGCCCCAAGCGGTGGCAGGCCTTCAGACTTTTTGAGGCTCTTTGACCTTGAGTCACCTATGAGGTGCTTGCGCTGCTTGGGGTCTGGCGCTGGGAGCTCAGGGCACTTTCCTCCTGACCTGCGCCTCCACCTGGGCCTGGGCCTGAAGGCGCCGGGGGCCGTTGCGTGCCACTGGACCTCCGCGCTCCCAGACCACGCCTGGCAGCTGGGACAAAGCAAAAATCAGATCAGATCTTAATTCTTCCTACAGTGCACCAAGGAGCAGATGCTCAAGGATGCGGAGGCAGATTGGCCACAAGTTTGTGCTGTCAAGTGGAGAGAACAAGTGCCAGGTGCGGCTTGCAATCACGAAACGGGACTTGCAGCTTACGTGGCTGCAAAGCCCAGCAATTCTCTACATGGAGGACTTCCAAGACACGGCAAGCCTTAGTGAAGGCAGTGGATGCAAGAGCTTCATGACTTTTCCGGCTGGGCAGTCGAGCCAGGCGTGGAGGGCGGGCGGCCAACTTATGCTTCCGATGATGTGGCGCTGGTCTTGGCTCCACCCGCCTGAAGCCGCCTGAAGCCACGAAGTCATGAAAAGGCGTATGTCCTCTTCACCAGTGGCTCGACGGGGGTACCGAAGGAGCGATCTTTGGACCTGCGCGCGCGCGTGCGCCGCGCAGCACGTTTCCGGTGAGCGCTGAAGGGAGTTCTCCTCACCCACCAGAACATCCTGGCCTACACTCGCTGGCATGTGCCCTATTACCAGTTGACTCACGAGGCGCTGGGGAGCTGAGAGCACTCTGAGAGCACTCTCGGCCCTGAAAGGACCGCGTTCCTCACGCCGCAGGGCTCTCCTTCGATGCCTCCTTGGCGGAGCCGCACCGCCTCTCGCATCGCCGCGTGGCGCGCTGCACGCACTGCACGCACTGCACTGTGCCATGGTGCGAGGAGATTTGGCCAACACTCAGTGTCGGGGGCGTGACAGCCCAGACAAGTGCACTGATGCCCTGAATGCCCGGTCTTTTATACCTTCATGATGGTGCAACTCGGACCGGGCGCTGCTTTGCAAGGCTGCGTGCTTCCGGTTCCCGATGACAACTTGCGTCTCCTTCCAGAGGCTGGCTTGCAGAACGCAGCACACAGCGACATAAAGCTTCCTGCAGCATCCAGTATTCCTGCAGTGGCAAGTCTTGACTCTTGACGCAGAAGTCCGGACAGGTCCGTGAAGAATCATGTCATGGCTGGCATCTCCAGAAGCGAACTGCAAAACAGAGCATGTGGGCAGGCGCTGTGCAAATGGTATGCCGAGGCACAACGGCCTGCCTCACCACCTGTGTGTGTGTGTGTATGCGTTTTGTTTGCCCTCTTGAGGCTGGCGCAACTGTGGCTTTTCTGACCACCCAGCTGGCTGAGGCTGCAGATGAAGCTCTGTCGACATGTCGCCACGTTGATTACAGATTGTACACAGATTTCATCGGGTGTGATATGGGCAAAGAGTCGGCAGGCGGTGCTGGCAGAACCTCACTATCCCTCAATGAGGCACTTTTGGTGTTTTTTGGTGTCAGGGGGTCGGTGAGGCGGTGCTTAGAATCCGAGGCTTCGCACTTTGGCAGGGTCCTTGGGCAGCTCGGTGTAAGGCTCCAAAAGCACACACAGACACATGCTTTCTGCCATGCTTGTAAGTTCACGGGCGGCGACAAGCTCCACGTGCGTCCGCCGCACCACGCTCCCTTTCAGCTTGTCAACATCTATGGCTCTGCGACCTAGAAGTCTGCAGTCAGCGCAGGGGTCCCTTTTTGGCACGCCACGTCAGACTCAGGCCCGACGGAATGCTGCGTGAATGTCACCATGCCGACCCCCAAGGGAGTTCGTTTGGGCAAGAAAATTGGGAAGGGCCCCGCTCTCGCTCTGGCCATTCGGGCGAGGTGCCAGGTGTGTCCTGGCGAGGGTTTGCCCTCGATTGCACACTTCTCAGAGTCCATTCGTGCGACGGCACGTGGCCTGTGACGATTCACCAAGGGAGAGCCGGTTCCCAACATGCAGCTGTACGTGCTTGTTGGTGCCTGAGTTCAGTTCAGCAGGGGTCCTGAAGGAAAACATGACTCTTGAAATAGGTGTGGGCTCAGCATCGTAAGCTGTGAGACACACGTTTGTGTGCACTACCAGTAACAACCCCGAACGGCGTAGCTGCCTCAAGCACTCGGGCTGGGTCCCGCGTTTCGGGTACCAGTCCGGGTTCTCCGGCCAAATCCTCTCCATCCGCCGGCACTTGTTCCTGGTCGGGTGCCTGTCCTCTGCAGCTCTGCCATGGTTCGTCGAGCTCTGTGCTTCTCTGCCCCAAGACTGTGTTGGACCGGCCACGGTCCTAATCCGTCCTATCGTCTTCGTGGATTGTCCCTTCGGCCGTGACTACGGCCTCCCCTGCTCCTTTCCCCCCGGCGCCCTCCGGTCGCGGTTTGAGACTTTCGCTGTCCTCTTTTTCTCCGTTGCCTGCAACGCGCATTCCTAAGGGCGCGCTGCCTGCCTGGCTCATGTGTTTGGCTCAAGTGATCATAAAGTACGTCCTTGTGCAGAGCAGTGGCTAACGGTGAGGCCACATATAGTACATACGTTGTGTTCCAGCAAGTTAACGAGCTCCTGCGGCAAGAAAACGAAGCTTGGGGCCGCTGTGCCGCATTCTGCTCTCCTGTCATTCTCGCGGCCTTCTCCGTATCGGTATTCGCACAGTCACCTTTTCAGAGTTTTGACCGTTGGACCTGATATTCTCGGCGCCACCGAGCCCTCGCCCTCGGTGTTGCTCCGATAAGGACCCGGAGATGCGGCCGCAGCCGCGGGAACACTCGGAGTCGGATGTGTGGAGCTCTAAACGTGGTACGGTGCCCTCTTCTGAGGTGTGGGCTCGTTGGAGAGCTTTGTGTTGGAGGACTCCAGGTTGGTCGCCCGAACTGCTCCATGCCGTGTGTTGGACTGTCGAACTTGTCCGTGCTAGGTGGCTGCGGGCTATCTGAATCGCTTGGACTTGACAGCGGCAAGCTTTGTGTGTTGCCATCGCATTGGAAATTCAGGGTCTGAGAGTAGGTTGACAGTTCCAGTTGCGCAGCATTCCCGGCATGAACGACGAAATGCCATGACTCGGAGTCCACGCTTGCGGTGTTTGAGTGCTTAGTTAAGCATGGGCCACAGCAAGCTCTTTAACACACGTGCGAGATCATACAGTTTCCATCCACCGCTCAAAGAGGAGTGGTTTTCTGCATGTAGATGACCCAATTCATCGATCCTGCATCAGTACTCCAATGTGCTGCGATTGTTGAGTTGTTTTGTAGACCTGCATCTTCATACCAGAATGCAGGGCATTGACACAAAGTGCCAGGCCGAACCCTTTCGAAGGGCGAGCAGATGAGCAGGCGCAAGCGTTCGTTTTGGGGCCACTTTCAAAGGCGGCTCCACTGTTGCACCAGTGCTCTGCGACTATCTCTTTTTGGAGGGCCGCACGCGGTGGCCACATGGACCGGCCTGGCAGGGGCGTGCAGGGCCGGGCCCTGCTTGGGAGGCACCTGTCGCCAGCAGAGAGGGGACGGTTTCCCGAATTTTCCAATTTTCGTGCTGCAGGGGCCTTCGTGGGTGGCTCGCTCTGTCGAGTCTTCCCCTCTCCACGGTGAATGCCTCGGCCGTGCGGGAACCCCTTGACTGAGTGCCGGGTTTTTCTACCTGAGGTCCGCGCCTCTACAAGACAGGTGATTTGGTACGGTGGGCGGACGACGGATCCCTGCTTTACGTCGGTCGCATCGATTTCCAGGTCGCATGCGCCACTGTCGATGTTCAGCGTTTGCATGCTGCTGTTGCTGGAGGTCAAGATCCGGGGTCAGCGAATCGAACTCGGCGAGATCGAAGCTAAAATGCTTCAACATCAGGCCAGGTATTCTGAGCATGCCGTCCATGAAAACGTAGAAACCCATGCAAGGACCATGGAGCATGCAGGAATTGAATCTGAAAAGAGGAGTGGAAAATCCTTCTCTTCTTCCTTCCATGACTCAATTGTCGATGCTGGAAGAAACCAGCTCGCGGGCAGCGTGCCACGGGATGCTACTGCTCACCACTTAACCACTACTAGTCACCCAACATGGGTAAACGTACGCCTCCTCCTCCTCCCTCCTTCCTCCTCCTTCCACCTCCTTTCTCCTCCTCCTCCCCCCCTCCTCCTCTTCCTCCTCCTCCTCCCGGTCACTAAGCTTCGCCCGCACTTCTGCGCAAGAAATCGAGCATCTACATCCACATCCGTATATGTATCTATATCTGTGTCTGTGTCTCTATCTATGTTTGCATCTGGCATCTGTGGCACTAGCTGCATCTGCATCTGTATAATCTGGATATGTACCTGACGCTGCAAAAAAGAAGCATGTGTACATGCATATGTATATGTATAGATGTACATGTACAAGTACATACAAATGTATATGTCAATGTCTATATGTCTATGCCTACGCCCATGACCATGTCCATGACCATGTCTATGTATTTGGGTGGTTCTCCAAATTAGGGCCCCTTTCGTACTATGTTGGGGACCTAAAAAGGCACCCGATTTTAGCGAACTACCCATATGTCTACGTATATGTATACGTATATGTGTATGTGTATGTATATGTATATTAGTATATGCATATAGTATATGTATGTGTATGTCAACAGTGTATGTGTATGTGTATGTGTATGTGTATGTATGCGTACCTGTACCTGTATCTGTATACATATATGCATACGGATATGGATATGTGTATGTATATGCGTAGGTAGGTAGGCAGGCAGGGAGGCAGGCAGGGAGGCAGGCAGGTAGTTGCCCCCCTCCCCCCGTGCTGTATGTATGTATGTATGTATGTATGTATGTATGTATGTATGTATGTAGGTATGTATCCTTTTTTGTTTATATTCTATATACGCATCAATGACCGCCAGGCCGTTCGGGAGTGCGTCGTAAACTGCCACGAGCTCCCCGATCACGACAAGATCCTGGTGGGTTACTGGACACCCAAAGCAGGAGACCGGATGCGATGGTGTGAGAGCAGCTTAGCTCCTACCTGTCTGGCAGGAGTTTCAGATGCACCTGATCTTGAGCAGCATTTGCAAGCAGACTTGCCAGAGTACATGATCCCAAAGGCAGGCTGCCACCTTTGCTCTGCAGAAACATGGAAAGGGCTGCAAGCAATCTCAAAGGACACATGCACGAGCCAACCGCAGCATGAGTGCGACAATGAAGCGAACCTGCCGACAACTTCAAGATAGTTCTCCGCAACTCGGTCTCCACTGCCTCAGCCACTGGACCACTCCCCTTTCCTCCGACGAGGGGGAAGACATACACCCCCCCCCCGCTGTGTGTGTGAGCAAAACCGGTCGTATTTGGAAGCATACTAGTTGGTTTGTAATAAAGTGTTTGCCTTCGTTCCTTCCAATATAAGCATCAAAAACAGCAGTTTCCAAATAGACCTGGTGCGTTCGGTTTTTCTTTGTTTCATTAGCTCGTTCAAAAGGATGAGAAAAAGCACAGTCCTGGCACCCTTGCGACAACAGGGCCGAGCTGCCGAGTTCCGGTGTGCTTGGTCATGCACCGTTGCTATGAATCTCTCCATTTATGCCTTCTGCAAACGGGAGGTTTTCATGAAGATGGACCGGCTGATTTTGACAGCCAATGGAAAGGTTGATCGAAAGGCATTGCCTCCGCCCAGTCTGGGCGTCCGCGAAGAGGCGCGCATGCTGAGTGGAATGACGAACTTAAGACGGATCTTAGTGTCGGCTTCGGTACACGAGCGAGATGCGGCAGCAACCTCACTCGTCAGGTGCCGTCAGAGGACTGCGAGCCGGAACAGCTGGAGGCTTGCAAAGATTGCACAGTTTTCTTATGTCTTGTTTCGCTCTGGAGTCTGGAGGCTGAGTTGAGGGGTGCCTTCGCGGCGGTCTTGAGCAAGAAGGTCTCGGAGGCAGGGAGCGGCAGGGAGCGGCAGGAAGGCCGAGCAGACGAGTGCAAGAAACTCGCACCCGCATTCGACTGTAGGTACCTGTTTCGGCATCCTTCTTTGCCCTTGGTGGGCATTCGATCTCTGTGGGACAACTGGTCAACCGGATCCGGAGGGAGTTGCAGCTGAATGCCGCCATCGCAGACGTTTACTCGTCGCCAAGTGTGAAGCAACTGGCGGCCCGCCTAAGGCGCCTGCGTCCAAAGGAGCTGGAGGACACCGGGACCCAGGCCGGAACCCAGGCCGACCAGAGTGAGACGAGGAGCGACGCGTACGTCGCTTCCTTCCAGCAGCTCTCACTGCAGCGGATGGCCTCTGTGAGCGCTGCCGCCTCCGCAGCCTTAAATCTGGCCTTCTGCGGCCATGCCCGAACCTCAGCCAGGCAGCCAGGGAATAGGCTCATCGGTCCTAGGGTCCTGGTCCTAGGCTTACTTATGAGCCTACTCCCCGGGCACATCCTTCTGTCACTGAGGTGCGTGGGTCCTTGAAGGTTCGCTGCCTGCAGCAGGCCTTCCGTGCCCTTTGTGGCCGCCACGACGCGCTGCGCAGCGTCTTTGTGGAGCACGAGTGCAAGATTCTCTCCGTCGCAGAGAGCGCTTTGGACTTCCGTCATGTGGAGCCCGGGGTCATGGGCTTCGGCGGCTTCGAGCTGGATTGGCTCCTGGACCAGCAGTACGAGACCTTCGACCTCGAAGCCGGGCCTTTGTGCAGGGTCCGCGTCTTCCAGGAGTCGGAGGACAATTGGATCCTACATTGGACACTCCACCACGTGAGCGCCGACTTGTGGAGCTACACCATTCTGTTGAAGGAACTCGAAGCTGCCTACGAGCATTACATTCAGCATGACGATGACGGCGCTGTGCATGAGCCTCCCTGGCCGAGCAGCGCCCCGCAGTACAGGCCCCTCAGCTACTAAGCCTGCCACACTAAGCCTAAGCGTCACTATAAGAAGCGTCATGGGAGCGGGGTCGCCTGAACTGCACTAAGGGACTACGCCTTGCAGGAGCAGCGGTTCTTGGAGTCCGAAGAGGGGAAGAGGAGCCGAAGTTACTGGCAGCAGAAGCTCCAAAAGACCCCACCGGTGCTGGATCTGCCTGGAGCAACAGCAAGCGAACGAAAGCCCACCTTCAAGGGAAGCAAGCTGGATGCTGGCCAGCACATCTTGGTCACACTCTCTTCGCTCCACTAAACTAGCTAGACTATAGCATGCATCACCGCAGCCGCAGCCCGCGGATGTCTTAACAGCGAACTCCCCTCTCACTGAGGACTTCGAGGTGAGTTCCGAGCTCTCGGAGTCACTTCGGAGCCTTGGCCAGCGCTGCGAGGCTTCCCTGCATGCCACCCTGCTCACGGCATGGATGGTGCTCCTCAGCCGATATGGCCAGGACCTGACCAAATCATATGCTGAGGTGTGTTGTCTTTTGTTGGGATTTGTGTCTGCTCTTGGCTTTCAGCTCGGCGAAGTCCGGCCTGGCCGTCCCGGCCTTCGGCTTTTTGAAGTCTTGGCCTTGTCGCTCTTGGCTTTGGCTTTGGCTTCTTGTTTCCGCTTGCCGCTTGCGTGGCTTCTGGCATTGTGCATCCATCAAGAGTTTCATCTTGGGCTTCTTGGGCTTCGCCTCTTGGCTTTTTGCATGTTGGCTTATGGGCTGCGGGCTTGTCGTGAAACATCATGATCCGGTCCACAACCACGGGGGATTTAAAATCTAGTTATTATTGTGTTTGACATGAGTGTTCTTCTTCGGACTTTCTTATCATTTTTCCTGAGTGGTAGTATTTACTACGATTCGTATTGCTATCGCTATTGGTAGTACCATTACTATTCTTTTTCGACTACAGTTACCGTCACTGCCACGGTCGCTGCTACTGTATTTATCACCGTTAACAGCACTCAAGGTAAAACATGCGGTCGAATTCCTCGCGAGATTGCGGTTTCAAAGACCTTGCTGCACATGATGATATGGCTTCTGGGTCTTGTCGTTTCAGCGCAGCTACTGCAGTAGTCAGCCAATTGCAGTGTAGCACGAAGGTTCATGTGCTGTGGTTATCTGTGTTGAGCCACATATCAGAACGGCTCTTAGTTGTCTGAACCCGGCTAGAACGGATCTACTACCACTATGTTCACTGTTCCTGGTACTGTTGCTACTATATTACTATATGGATTACGCGTGCTCTTATCATTTTCATTCCGAGAGCGGGTTGTCAGTCATGGGGCCCGTTTTATTAAAGAAACTTCGTATTTTTTTGGTGTTTCTGCGCTTATTAATCATTCTGCCACACACGCATGCATACATACGTCCATTGCTATCAATGGGCCGTGAGGTTGTACAAATATGATTACTAAGCCTTTGCACAAGAATACACAAGCACATGCATGCATTCACATGTTTACACATACATGCACACATGCGCGCAGATGCTACGGTACTTAAAGTCAAACTTGAAGAACACAGCACACACCCCGCCACGGCCCGCCACTTCCGAGCGAAAGGAAGGAATACAAGTTCCCACTAAAACGCCCAATGTCTCCTTTATGGTTTGGTGTACTGGCAGATTTGGTGTACTGGCAGAGTCCAGCACAGCTTACTTCTGTTCTAGACATGTTGAAGCGCTGTATCGCATACTAGACAAACGCCCAATCCCGACTCGGGTTGAGACTTTATCGAATCCTTATGGTCCAGGCCGCTGTATGCCCTCCATCCTTACGACTATCCTGGGTGTACATCCCGAAGGCCTACGTAGCGCCTGGACCCTTGAAGTACACGTAGGTACAGTGCTTCTAAAAGCAGCTCAGGCGCCCCTAAGCAAGACATTTGTTCATAAGCGGGGAAAGGTGTTAATAAGTTAGTACCGAACCCGTCCACAAACCATAAACTTCATAACAGAAAACATCGTAAATACCAGCGTTGTCATGCATCAGCTCTCCAGGGAGATGAGGCGGTGGGAAGGCTTGGTGCCGGCGCGCGGCGATGCCACGGTGGACACTTCGGTGTTGTGGTGTGCGGTGTGTGGGGTACGCGCTGTGGTGGATGGGGGAGGGTGGGGGAAGGCGGGGGGTTGGCAGGTCTCGCGTCATCGCATCATAAGCCGAAGACCCTTGATCCCCGCTTCCCCCCTCCAGAAACCGCCCCCGAAAATGAGCAACGACCATCAAAAGCATCTGAATATGGAAGACACGGTTGCCAACAGGGAAGCACACACACACACAACCTGACTATCAAAGAAGAGCGATGGCCCCTCCGAAACCTGTCCATGCACAAGCGCAAACTTCAAGGGTTCAGTTAACCAGTAAAACATGCAGTGTTTGTGGAAACAATGCGGCTCGATCACTGGAATTTCGACTTTGTTTGCTCTCCCTCGCCGCCTCGCCTCGACCATGGCTTCCGCTCTTGCTTCGTGCTTTGACTTCTCGGCCGTCTTCGCCGGGCCGCGGCCGCTAAGGGGCTTAGTGGAGCGGGCCCGGACCGTTTTTGTTTTTGACCCCGTGTCTCTCTCCCTCCGCAAAAAATATTCTTGACCTGTACACAAAAGACGACACAAGCTGGAATTAATTCTCGAACCAGGCAGTTGTGGGATTTGGAGGCAAACACAGTAGACCCAGAAACCATAAGTACCACAAGCGGTCGGCCCGCAACGGCCAGCATCCGAGAGTCGCAAACAGAACCGTGACTGAGAGTCGAGGGGTCGAGCTGAGAATGCTCGGAGGGACAGTGCCACCCTGGCAATCAAGCTGGCATTGGCTGAAACATGGACTTCTGAGGGGCTGTAAGCCACCAACCTTACTTTGGAAGGTAAGCATGGTGAAGCAGCCCTGTAGGAAGAGGATATTTGCGTCGGCACTCCCATGGCCTGTCGCACCACCGCCGAATCTGAAGCGACTGTCGGCTACTTCGCAAATCCAGTTTGCATCCGAGCCATCGTGTCGAACACTTACGAAAAGCTGCTTCGGGATGTGGCCATGGATGTGACAGATTCCCTACAGCATCAACGAGTGCCGCTTAGCCACGTTTGCGATGACTTGGGCTTGGATCTGCGTGCGCTGCTCCAGCCCCTGTTTGTCTTCCAGACATGCCCGGATGAGCTATATCAATCTCGGCTTCCATCTTTTTTCATGGGCCACGAAGGGTCTGAGATTTCATTGGGCCCGTTGCGCTTAGAGTCCATCGGGTTTGGCCAGAAGTTCACGCAGTTCGACTTGGCATTGGTAGTGGCACATGGTCCTCGGGGTGATCTCATCGGCAGCTTTCAGTACAGCACCACTTCGTACACACGAGATGCAGTACTGCGGCTGCAGGCTCAGTACCTGACAATCCTGCAGTCCATGGTGAAGGATCCTTCCCAGGATGTTGGCCAAGTTCCGTTGTTCGTGGATGAGGATCTCGAAGTTTTGTTGACTTGTTCAGAACAGGGGGGTTTTCTGAAAAGACGACGAGGAGCCCTTGGCAGCACAGACTGTCGTTTGATTGCAGGATCTGGCGGAGCTGCGCCGACGGGTGACAAGCCCATGGCTCCAGGACCGTCCATAGACCCCATGATAGGCGTTCATCATCGGAATTTCATATCGGTTATTGTGGGGGATTGTGGGCGATTTCGTGTGTAGTTCAGTTTCAGTGATTGAGGATCTTCCCAACGACTCCTTGCCACGACTCGTGGCGTCGCGTGCTGCAGAGAACCCCAGCGCCTTCGCGGTGGTGAGCCCGCAAGGGACCTACACCTTCGGCGAGGTCTTGCGCCGGGCACAGCTCTTGGCCACAGCCTTGCTGGAGGAAGCCTCCTTCCACGCGAGCTCCGGCCGAGAAAGGCAGGGCAGTTGGCAGGGCCGTTCTTCCGGCGGAAGGGAGCTTTCAGGAGGCCTCCTGAGCTGCCGCGTACCCTTGGTGGAGGAGTCCGAGGCGGCTCAAAACTCTCTCTCTCTCAGCGTGCAAGGCGACGGTTCCTTCTTGGAAAGCTTTAACCTCTTAGTCGGGTTGATGGTGAGCCCTGGACCTTGGATGGTGGCGGGCCCTCTGGGCTGCTGGATGGCTGGACGTGGCTACTTCGCTTTGGACTCAGAGCACCCGACGGAGCGCATCCAGCAAATGGCCCAGGATGCCTGGAGCCCAAGTCAGTGTCAGTGTGTGTCAGTGTGTGTGTGTGTGTGTCACACACATGTTGCGTGAGCGCCTGTGATCTCTCTGCGTCTGAGGCACACCCCCAGTGCATCCTTTGCGAGCGCCGCGCGCAGTCCGTGGCCAACTCCTTGGGCTGGCCCGTCCTAGTGACCGAGGATGCCACAGAAACTCCCCCTCCCCCACCCTGATATCGTCTCATGTCCGTCCGTCGCTTTCCTGTGCAGGAGCTCCAGAGCAGGCACGCCACCATAGACCACCTACCTTAAGTCGCATGAGCTCGCATGAAGAGCTCCGGTTGTGCCTTCGCACTGCAGGCGCAGCTCTGCCGGTACCTCGTGGCCCTACTTGGAAGGGGACGGCCAGGCACTCCTCGTGTTCACCAGTGCGGGCCTTTGATCTGAGATCTTCCCGAAATTCTCGGTGCCTTCGGAAAGTCTGAGGCGGCTCGACGGGTCGTCCTAAAGGCCCCACTCAGACGAGAAATGCCAAAGATTTCGATGCTCGAAGCATCTCGAAGCCTCGAAGCCTCTAAGTGCTTGCAGGTGTTTTGCTCTCCATGCGGGCAGTGCTTGCCCACGTCATGTTCAGTAGCCAGCACTTCGGCTTCAAAGCAGGGCAGGTCGGGGGCAAGATGCGGCGGGTGCAAGAGGCGTTGCCTTTACTCATTTTTGCGTCTTGATCCAGGCGACGCTGCAACACACGTCATGGACTTTCGATGCGTGTTGCCCTCGTCTCGGGTGCCCCCTCCTTCAAACTCCGGATAGAGCTCCGTTTCCCAGGCCGATTTGCGAGATCTGGCCGGCACTGTTGTCAGGGGCAACGGTCGTGATCAGCAAGAGAGATGGCTCGAAGGCAGCGGGTCCGGCGGGTCCGCTGTCGCTCGACACTTGAGTCGGTGAGATGAGGACTTCCAGTATCTTGCTTCCCTGGTTGATGAGCAGCGGGTCAGCTGGGCTCTCGGAGCCTGCGCCTGTCACTGTCGCAGACTGTCACACTGGTTTTGCTCTGAGGCCACGCCCTCTTCGTACCCTCCTTGCTGGCCGACGCTCGTCGACGTGATGTGGCGGTAGTAACAGTACGGGGATTGCGGTGGACGGGAGTCTCTTCCGGCTTGGTGCTCCGAGGAGATTTTGGAGCACCAGGCGCTGCCGCGAAGCCTGCGATCCCTGGTCGTGGTGGGCGAGGCGCGCGCGCGCGCCTGCATGCGCTTCCGCAGCAGAACGAGCAGCAGATGGCTTGATGCAGGCCTGCTCGTTGAGCCTGGCGCGACGGATCTTGGAGGCCGGAGTTCGCCGCTCCACCAGATGCAGCGCATTGCAGCGCAGTGGCCCCGGCCCCGAGGCGCCACTCTCCTTGAACAACTTCTACGGTCCCTCGGAAGCCGGCATCGGGGCCACCATCTACGAGGAGATCTCAAGTACTAGCATCAACTAGCCAACCAGATCATCATTCCATATTTCCATCGCAATCCATCGCACATCGCACAGGTGGACAAGATTGGTGCAGTCCCAAACCATGCGCGGGGCCCCGATGATCCGCCCATGCCCCTCGCACGCCGCGCCGCTGCACCGCTGCGCACCGCCGCATGGCAAGCCTGCCCAGGTGCAAAGCCTGCCAATTGGACGGCCCGTGTCCTGGCACGAGGTGCCATGCAGTGCCATGCCGTGCCATGCCATGGCTTTTGAAGCGTGGCAAGGTCTGCAGGCGAGCTGAGTCTGAGGCTCCGAGGTTTCTGGCTCCCAGTTTTCAGGTTGTAGCTCTGCGCTCATGGAGCCCGGGAAGAGTGGAGATCTCTGGTCGCAGGAGACGTACAAGTCCAGCTATCGCTTAGCATATTGTCACTCGATCGAGGATTTTCCCGATCGTGTCCAGAAGGCCAACGCTGCGCGCTTGCTGCTGAAGAGTGCCGGCGACCCTGGCGCGAAGCTTCACTTCGGCAATTGGCCGAAGAGCGAGGGCACCGAAGGCCCTGGAAGCCCAGAGAGCCCGCCACAGAGCCCCGGGCAGAGCCCGCAGAGCCCAGTACGACTCTACTCGGCAAAGAGCTTGGTGAAGGAGTCGATCTACCGAACAGACTACCGTCATGGCCAGTCCCCAGAGTTGGATCCTCACCTGGAAAGCTTCCGGCCAGTGACCTCCTCTGCATTATAAGCTTCATGAATGTTCTTCGGTTCGGCTTTTTCAGGTGAGGCGGTTGTGAGGCCTTATTGTGAGGCCTTATTGTGAGACACTTGAGGGCTTGGCCTGAGGTGCCCGTCGGCACCTCGCTTTTGAGCCGAGGTGGCGCTGCCCGGAAAGACCTGGAACACCGAGCTTTGGATGCGCACGGGGGCCGCGGCGGCCGCGAGGGCGCAGAGCGACAAGACCGGGCCTTAGAGGTCCCTCCCAAGCCCCAAGCCCAAAACAAAGAGGGCGCAGGGCGCAGCCCTTCAGCTGAAGCGAGATCGAACTCGCACGAAACCTCTCTTCAAAAGAGAGCCTTCGATACGGGAAGCCTTCTAATTCGGTTTCACCGGGTACATTTGAGTACTCGGCAAGTCACAATATTCAGGCATGTCGAAAACGATGCCTTCTCGACTTGTGTTTTCTTGGCGAAAAGCGACGAGGATCTCTACCCAGTTGGGCTGGGCGAAAGTTCTTGGAAGTGTGGTAGCGCTTGTAGGTGATCTTGCTTGACCCAAAGCTGCGTCTTGCCCTCGGACTCGGACCTCTCGTTTTGGCGCCTGCAGGGCCCCCGGGGCCGGGGCCGGGGCCGTCCCATGGGAGGCCCAGCGCTGGGAGGTGTGGGCCAGATCGGAATCCTGGGAGAGGTGCGGGAGACAGCGGAGAGAACGGAGTGTGAGCGAAGCAGCGAAGTGGAGAGGGGATCTCTTTCAGGGCTTGGCCAGTGGATACCTTCGTCTGCCGCAAGAGACGAAGACGCGCTTCATCAAGACTCCCGAGGCTCAGTCGGCGAGTCGGCGAGTCGGCGGTCACGGGGCTTAAGTGAGTCTTGGTGCGAGTCGTGGTGCATGTCGGGGAGGCCATCCGTGAGGTTCTTCCCCACTGCGGTCCCATTACCTACCTCACGGGGGATGTCGGGCGCTACTGCCAGGACGGCCTGACGGCCTGGCCCGAGAGTGCTCGCGCGCGCTGGTCCATCCCATGTTTGTGTTTCTTGCAGGATGACATTCTCGAGTTCGTGGGACGGCTGGACAGTCAGGTGCACCAGATGAGAAGCAACGAACATCAGCGAACCCTCAGAAATGATGCTGTGCCCTGGCATTGGCTGGTGCATTGAAATGCAATCATTCGAGTATTAGGCCCCAAAACCTTGCCAACACACTCAGGGCATGCAAGTCAACCCACGGAACGGGTTATGTGTCACCGTTGTATGTGAGACGTCACCGGAAGTCAGATGTCCAGGAGTCTAGGAAACCGGAATGACATGGAATGGATATGGCGGATATAGAGAGACCGAGAGACGGATGAGAGCTTTGCCTTTTTTTCGCGCGGACACGCGTGGGGGAGGTGAAGCTCCGTGGCCAGCGCGTGGAGCTCGGCGAGATCGAGGCGGCGCTCCTCTCCGCCAAGGCCGTCACCGAGGCCCCGAAAGCCGATGCTCTGCGATGCTCTGCTGCGGCGATTGAGCGGCGAATGCGCTTGGAGCCGGCGTCCTGGTCGCAGGCCGTGGCGCTGGTGCACGGGGACCGGCTCATCGGATACTTCTCGACCTTGCAGGCCCTGCACTGCCCTGCACTGCCCTGCACTGCCGTGTGCCAGAGTGGAGAGCAACTGTGCTGAGGGTGTGGAGGAAGGCGATGCGGCGGCATTCTCGGAGAGAGGCCCCGACTCCCAGGGAGCCGCAAGTCTAGAATAGACAATCTCAGGTCGCGCAATGCGTGGACAAAACCAGGCAGCGGTTGCCAAGGCCAGCAGTCAGTGTCTTGAAAAGCCGGGGTGAGTGCTGGGACTGGATCTGGGCAGGTACATGTGGCCGGAGCTCGTCCATGTCAAGGAATGGCCCAGAGGGCGGACGGGCAAGGCCGGGCCCCATCGGGCCCCCGTGTGCATAAACTTAAGCGGCTGCCTTTTGCGGAAGCGGCTGCCTCTTCAGGTGGACCGCAAGGCATTACCGGTGCCGACGATTTGCGTGCAGGATGCGGTTCCTCCAAGGCGCGCGGCAAGTGCTGCTGCAGGCTGCTGCAGTGCTGCGGTATCGGCTCCCGCGAGGTCTTCCCTGGAAAAGAAGATCCTTGACATCTTTTGCCAGGCCGGCCGGGATATGATCGGAGAGGTACGTGACGATGTCGCAGGCGGCAGTAGAGCTGTGCTGGCAGGCATTGAGGCGAGACCCGACGCTCACTTCCGTCCACTCGGACTTCTTTACGCTGAGACCTTGGTACATGGTGCAAACGGAGTGCAACGTGTCCTCTCTTGATTGTTACATCTTTGCCAGAGAAGGTTGGGGGGCACTTCTCTCAAGGCTGCAGCTTTGCTGTCTGCTTTGAGAGCTCAGGTGCCGGAGGCCGATATTGAAGCCGAAAGCCATCCATCAAAAGCTTTGAGCTTCTCCTCCGACACGAGGCGGTGGCACTGCAGTTCGACGAGCTCTACGCTCATCCGGACGTGGCCAGCCTCGCCCAAGTGCTTTCTGGCAGCCGCCAGGTGCAACGGCGGCTTTCCAGTGCTCTCTTCGAAATTTAAATCGACTGCAGCCGCCAGGAGATTCTCCTGGGTCCGGCTCCAGTAGAAGGCCTACTGCCGGCTTCCTTGGGCCAAGAGCACATGCCACTTGGCACGGGGCAGATCTTCGATTCTACGTGCATTTGATCAAGTTCTTCGTCCTTGGCTATCTTGGCTTTATTTTATAATGGACTACATGGTTACAGTAGCGGCCTGTTTTGAGATTTGCAAAAGATCCCCCTGACCCGGTGTGATCTCAGGCTTGTGTTGCAGGAGTTGCACGAGGGCAGCTCGGCCTACAACTCACCGCTCATCCTGAAGCCGTGCCCCCAGCGCCAAGGGGCACAGCTCGGCTTGAAGAGAGCTTCAGACAAAATTCTTGCAGAGGTTGGAGGGAGCCTTGAACCGATCCGCGCTGTCTGCTGCGCTGGACCGGGTCATGGGCCACAGCTACGAATCCCGCGAATGCGAGTCCAATAAACGCTGTGACCACCTTGCTGCCTGTCTCAGAGGTCATTGCGAGGCGGAGCCGGAAGACTCCTTCACCTCCACATCCCAGTGACTCCGTCTGAGCAGGCACGACGTCTTGCGGAGCAACCTTTTGCGAGACACCATCGACGGTGAGCCCGCGGTCGTCCAGGCCCTGCATAGGGCCTAGGGATAGCTGTTGCCTGCTTCCGGTGGTGCTGTTGCGGCAGTTGCAGGTGACGACTCCTGCAGCTGAGTTCCAGTGCGACATGGAGTTCTGGGACATCCCGGCAGCGAAGCTCAGAGCGAAGAGCCGCAGAGCAGCCGCAGAGCAGTGCAGAGCGCGGCCGAGCGGCGAGAGTCGCGGCGAGTCCAGGAGGACACGGCACAGCAGCCTCAGCGACGCCGGCACGACCCTCGCGGGGAGAGCGCGCACATGGCATCTGAAACTGCGTTTCTATAACTTGAGGCTGGGCAGCCGGCATGTCGGAGCTGCTGGACGCTTTTGGCTTGTGTGAAGTTCGTGCCGTGATCGCTGCTACTTGTAACTTCTTTTCCTGCCCTCTCCAATGAGACCATCTGTAGACAGGCAAGAGAGTCAGTCGAGAGTCAGTCTCTTTTCAGCGTCAGCCTCGCCCTCCCGCGGCAGGAGCTGAGCGAGCGAGCTCTTTCCAACTGAGCTCATGGCCGGTGCCTCGGCCCCCGGCCCTCGAGCGACAAGCGCCTCATAGCGCAGCGTGAACCCACCCGAGGTTGGGAAGGACGGCCTCAGCGACCGGTTTGGGCCCAGGCACTCCCGAGAGGCGGCTCGGGGGCCTGGGCACTCGCAGCCGCCGCTTGCCGCCGCGCCGCCTTGCCGCCTTGCCGCGCTGCGTGCGCCAGGGGGGCGAGCTGGCGAAACCTTTTCGACCGTGTGGGCCAGAAAGCGGAAATCCTGTGCCTGGTGTTGGCCTCATGGGACCTGTGTGACTCCAGGGCAGGGCACGGCGACCAAGCTGGTCACCGATCTTCTACCAGGCGCCAAGCACAACTCCAGCTGCGAACCTGCCGCCATCCGTCGGTTGCCATCGGACACCACGGTTTCGGATCCCATCAAACACCAGGGCTACAATTCTCCTCCGATGCGATCGCCAGAAGAAAATCGGGATGTCACTGACTTAGCGAGTACACTCAAGGGTATCAGAAAACGGTGGGGCTGTGAGGCTGCGAAGTTGATTAGTCGGGGTGCAGCACTGAAAGACTAAGGACAGGATACGATTGACAGAAATGCTGGAGTCCCGCAGCTCGTGCATTGGTCAGTATGCTTAGCATGGCATGCCAAGGACCAGCACCAGCAGCCTTAGTTTGGGCGATCTTGGTCGAGCGCAACAGTGGTCCTGCACTTGGCCACGGAGCATCGTGTACGGAGTAGGGCTCAAGCATTCTAGGCTTAAGTTGAGAAGGATGGGCTCACAAGCGTCATACGCTCCATACGCTCCATAAGAGCCTTCCCGCCGGGTGTGACCAGCCCGTCGCATTGCTCGCGGGCTAATAAGCTCATTGACCAATAGAGCCCTTAAGATGATAGCTCATCATCAACATGTCCGACACAATCAAAGGAGGAATCTATGAACACAGAGCAGAGCTACGAAGTTTGTCGTGCACTTGCTGCACCTTCGGTGTTGCTTTTAGGTCCCCCGGCTGCAGCGAGCTGGTGCTGTCCTGGTTGGTGGAGGAGGCCCAAAAGCCCTTCAACCTTCGGGACGAGCCCCTGATCCGCATCGTCCTTGCAAAGGCCTTTGGGCTGGTTTGGGAGGTTTCAATCTCCTCTCCTGTTCTGTTCACTTGCCGTTTGTCGTGTGTGTGTGTGTGCGTGTGCTATTGATGGTGAGGTGGGGTCGGAGCAGCATTTTCTGCTGGTGAACATGCACCATTCTGCCTGGGTCGCGGGATCACGATTCCGGTTCCTCTCGGCGTTTTGCCACCCCGAGTCCCAGATGACCGAAACCCGTTGAGGTCACAGATGGACGATCGCTTTCCATTCTCAGGCGGCCGGCGCTGACTGGTTTTTGATACCTTATCTCGTCCGCGGAGGCAGGAGTTGACAGCCTTCTACAACCAGATTGCTTTAAAGCTGGCAGAGGCTGCCGCTCTGAGCAGGTATGTAAGTCCTCTCAAGTAGCGAGCACTAGCGGAAGGCCCCAAAGCTCCCAGCCTTGTCGATGCAGTACGCAGCTCCGGCCTCGGCAGCATCGGAAGTTTGTGGCACCCAACGCACCCAGCAAGTCTCCCCCTCCGACACGTCAGGCCTCACATTTGGCCTCACCTTAACACTCCTCGATGGAGCCGCCCATCTATGTTGAAATGGGACTGTACGAGCACTGGAAATTGCACGTCCTACTTGTCTTGCGTGTGCAAGAGTGCAAACTGCGAGAGCATTTCAATCAGTTTGACAAACAGACAGCAAGAGGAGTAGTTGCAGTGCAAGTACCAAATCTGACGTAGCTGAAAGTGGGGGGGGACCCGCATTCTGTTCAAGACACTTCACGACTTCAACTGTTGCAGTGTCTCTCACCCCTGACTCCCTGACTGCATCACCGTCTACTCTGCTCCGGCCGTCTTCGTTTCCAGCTCCATGGCTGCACGGTGCTCAGACTCCAAACCGAATAAACCGAGCACGTTGATCATTCAGGCTGCATCACCCTGCATCACCCTGCACGACATCTCCCTGATCTCTGTCGCGAGATCAGCTGCGGTAGACTGTCGAGAGTTGAGCTTCGCGGCCAAGGATTTCGCATACTGTCAGAGACGGTGGATGGCCCAGGTGAGGGCCAGTTGGAGTTTGGAAAGTCTCAGTCCCTGTTCTCGCCAGGGCCGTCTTGAGAGGGAGCTGGCGTACTGGCGCTCCCAGCTTCAGCAGCTTCCGGCCCTGCAGGACTGGCATTGCAGGATATTGCAGGTTGGAGGCCTTACACGCAGACACCCACCAGACCTGCCAATCTAATGGCAACTCTTGATCAATGGCCCCCCCCTTGCGAGGTAGAGAGGGGTGGGCGTGGCAGCCCTCATCATACATATATATATATATATATGTGTGTATATTATAATGTGCACATGTTTGTGCATGTGTATAAATGACATATACTGTAATACACAGGCACACACGGCTTGTCAGTCGTCAAAGGCCTGTGTGTAAACGTGCTGGTACGGACATCGAGATGCCACAGCACTCTAGCCGTCGTCACTGTCGGTGCAACACCGTCTTTGCGTCCACGCGCAGCTCCTCACGGATTTCTCGCGGCCGCCCAACCTCGCGCTGGACGGAGGTCAAGCGGGCTACTCAGGAAAGATCCAAGTGACCAGTATAGACTGTGGCTGTGGCCCTTCGATAGGTTACGTTTCAGTTGCAGCCAGCGCTGGCAAATCGGCTTCGCAGCCTTGCGCGTGCCAAGAGCGTCACGCTCTTCGCACTTCTATTAGGCCAGGAGCCGTGTGCAGCGCGCTTTAACAGCAGTGCCCAGTGCGGAAGAAGCAGTCATCTCAGAGGCCTCTTCGCCCTGGCACTGAGCCGCTGGGCAGGGGCGCAGGATCTCGCCATTGCGTCGCCGGTGGGCCACCGCCAGGGGACAGTGCCTCAGCACAGCCCGTGGGAGTGGGGCATGCAGTCCGGAAGCAGTACACCTCAAGCGGAAACACGAAGGTATGGTTTTAAGACATGTGAGCAGCCGGCATCGCTTAATGAGAGGCGGAACACATGATCAACGTCGTACGGGTAATTGAGGTTTAATATGGCTGGAGGATGGATTGTTTGTTAATATGGCCAAAAAGGTTTTGGTGGACCAGTGGACAAGTAGAAAGCCGTTTTGATCAGGATGTTTTTTGATAGGTTGTCCGTTCAGCGCTAGCATCGATGTCACTTTTCCCCCTGCCTCCTGTCACGTGCACAAGCCGGTCCAAAGGAATGCCGTGGAGCCGCTAATTGGATACTTTGTGTCGTGGCCCCAGAAACAGCATGTCACCATGCAGTGGCACTGGCGACATCGATGCGATAGCTCGCAAGGAACACCGTGCTCTTCCGGGTGAACTTGAAGACTTGCACATTCGAGGCAGGCCCGGCATCGGAGGTGCGGCCCGAGTTGTGTTGCTTGTGCAAGGATCTCCTGCAAAGATTGCGCGATACAGTGGTCGGGGCTTTCCAGAATTCGTCGGCTCCGTACGCAAAGGTTCTGGAGGCTCGGCCTGAGAGAAGCGGAGCATTGCTGAGCTGTGCTTCAAAGATGCCGCCATGACTTCTGGAGGCTGCGGAGCTTGATCCGGCTGCTGTGCCAGCCATGTTTGTGCTGCAGGACTCCATGGCTGTGGTCATGTGGGGGTCGCATTTCGGATGTAGAAGGACAGAGATGAGACGGCATGGAGCATGGAGGCGGGTTCAGTCTTGTCTGTCCCTTAGCTGATGTGGAGTCTACCGTGGCTCCAGCAGCCTGCAGGGCTTGCGAGTTGAGCAAGTCGAAATCAAGCGGCATGCGGCCCTCTTCGATGTCACTTGCGAGATGCAGGCCAAGCACCCATGGTCTCGGAGTGCAGAGTTGCAGCTTTACGATTGCTTGGTGAAGGAGATGCCTGGATCCGCCGGAGGCAAAGAATAGGTCCATAGGTGTTGTGTGCGGCACAGCCTACCGTTCCGATTTCTAGGACTCCAGGGTGTCCTGGACGCTTGGATGCAAGTCGAGTGACTTGCAGAGATATTCAAAGGCATCCTTTTGTGCGAGGTCTACAATAAACACCTGTGGACCAACTCACGTGCCGGGCGCCTGGTGCTGGTTGGAAATCCTACCTTGTAACTTCAGATATAGAACAAGTGATGCAACCTTCAATGAACTCTATGTAACTTTCAATGAACTCAATCTGGGTGCCACCATCGACAAGTCGTACGAGACAATGCTCCTAGAGGACTGGTAGGTAGTTTTTTGTATTCCAGCTGTGCAAAAATACGAACGTACGAGTCATCTGCGCCTTGCACTTGACGCCCTGTTGATGTCTTCGCAACAAGCTGGCAGGGATCTGCTTTGCATCGGTGTGACGATAAACTTGAGGAGAGATGGAACCTCTTCTTACATCGGTATCCTCGAACGTGGCACGTGCCCCTTTCGGATACACATCCGGGCAATGCGCCGCAACTTGTTTTTGGTCGGGAGTGTGACATGCAACGCGCTGGGGATGTTGTTTCACTCAGAAGACTTATTGAAATGTGAAACAATGAGACACAGCTTTCCAATGCATAGGTCATCGTTTTTCAACGAAGCTTTCCCGATCATTAACGATCAGATGCACCGGGAATCTGTGAATGCGTGCCCATGCCAACTTGTGGTCATGCAAAAAAGCACATTTTCGCTGGGACACACCATGGCTTTGGCCGAACATCCCCGATTTTTTCAATTTCGACGACATGGATAAGCGCCCAGCTGAGGATGCAACATGCCTTCCAGACTCTTCAGTGCTGCTGCTGCCTGAAAGCTTTCTTGCCCTTGCAATCCCATTTCCCCGGAAATTTCTTGAGCATTCAGAAGGCAGACAGCATCTTGCTTATCTTGCCCATGGTCTGCTGGCGTTCACCACAGTTTCGGAGGGCATATGGCATGGAAACAGCGCATTCTGAAACTTGTGCCGTACACCAAAGACGCGACAACGAACCCTGCACATACCTCGCGCATCTCCGTAGTTTCAGAAACAACTTCCGTCCGCCGTGATACGAAATTTCCTTCACACCACGACTCTGCAACAACAAGCTTGTTGGTCTGTGAGTAGTTCAACAGGCCTCCACGGGCCTCCACATCTGTAACAAGTCATTTTTCGGAGACTGCGGTGTAGAAGACACCAGCCCCTTCAGTGTCACCTCCAACATCGGGATACGAAAATGCACAACATGCGGCTGACGAACCTCGTTGATATGTTTCCGGAGACATCCACATTGCGGAGACCGGTCTTTCCACATCTGTAGCTGACGAAGAATCCTTCTTGACCGGAAGCAAGAAGGTGCAAGGACATTTTCCCGGGAAAGGCTGATGAAATGGGCTGTTGGCCCGTTCTCTGGCCAAGGAGCCAGTTTCGGATCCGTCAGCAAAAAAAAGGCATGCAACTTTGGTGTTGTTCATGTTCAACCCATGCAAGAGAAGCCAAGCACAATATTAAACTAAACACCAGCCAAGGCTTCCATAACAAAATGGCACTCTTCGGGTTTGGCCATGTTTTCGATTGTTTCCAACAGAGACGACGGAGATGCTGGATGATACCGCAAAGCAGAGAAGCTGCGCAACAAAATGGCGCTTTTCCGGCTTGCACCATGTTTTCGACCGGTGGCATGGGGCTCCCGCTGGGGAGCCCATTCTTTGTTCGAAGTTTTGTCATCCAACACGGAACGTATTGAACTTGAAAGAGCAATCCGCTACCTTCAGAAACAGTGTCATGGGAATAGTGGACTCCAGCAACACTTGAGAACGGCATGCCATAGGCTGCATAGGCCATGCCTTCCTCTTGTTGGCAGGAAGGCAGCATTCAGGTTGTTTTAAGTTGCTCATGCACAGCGGCTTTGCCGAGGCCGTGCGTTTTGCTGAGAGCCTCCAGGTCAGCAGCTTGTGCAAACTTCGTTGTGTCCCCTCCGGTCCACTGCACGCCAGACGCTGGCTCTGGCTGTGGCGGAACAGCCCGCTGTGGACCTGCTCCAACTTGCGGTGAGCATCGGGTCCGTTGGAATTTGACGCTTTGAGTTGCTCGCTTGTCGAGGTCATCTCCAGCAACGACCGGGCCAAGGTCTTGGAATGGGGCGGCCACAACCGACCAGTCTCGTCACCCACGCCGCTGATCAAGGCCAGTGAGCTTTCTCCCGTCAAACATGCCTCGGCGGTTCGGAAAACGCCGAAACCGAACAAAAACAATTCTACGTCTACATATGCCTCGTAAGAAGGCCGCGTGTGCATTATGGCATGCATGCATGGTATGCATCCACTAACAGTGCTGTCGTTTCTTCTCCGACCCGGTTGACTCGGGCGAAGGGTGGCAAAGGCGAGCCGATGAGGTTCCTTTATAATTACACCTGCGGCCCGGAGTAAGACTCAAGAGATCTCCAGCAATTACCGTGACCCGGCGAGCTGGCACAGGCTCTGAAAGTGCAACTTCTCCAGTGCCAGCATGACATCGCAGTGCTGTCTGGGGTGAGATCCCCAGAAATTGGCTTGATGGAGCCAGAGAGAGAGAGCGAAAGGGAGAGTCGAAATCTGGAATCTGTGCAGGACCGGTCCGTCACGTACGCAGAGCTTGGCGCGCGCGTGACGGCCCTGGCCTTGGTCTTGGCCTCGGAGCGCCGCATGTGTGGCGCAGCATGTGTGGAGCAGTGCCTGCAGGGAGTGCCTGTGGCTGTACTGTTTGCTCTTCCGTGCGTTTAAGAAGTCGCTGTCTGCCGGAGGCGCTGCGGGAGGAGCTCTCGGAGGCTTTCGACTCGGAGGTCTTGGTTGCCTTGTTGTTGCCCCGGTCCGTGGACTTGGCCGTTGCGATCTGGGCTGTCTTGAGCACGGGGGCGGCCTATGTACCGATTGACCCCGATTACCCGCCACAGCGCATTGCTCACATCCTCCTTTCTGCCGGGCCGCGGTTGGCTTTGGCCCGCAAAGAGCATGCAGAGCTCGCTACAGACATCCGAGTCTTCGGCACGTGGCAGTGGCCAAGCCCGGAAACCTCGGCCCGTGTGGAAGAGCTCACGCAGGCACCGCCGCAAGGCCTGGCCTATGTCATTTACACCTCCGGCTCCACCGGCAAGCCCAAAGGGGTAGCCATTGAGCACCGATCGGCTGCGAACATGGTGCAGGACTGCGGACTGCATGAGATTGTATGATCTGTCAAACACTCACGTCATCTCACGTCTGACTCTTTCCAGGAACAGCTTTCCCTCATGCGCATTACCAGGGAGGATCGTGTCCTCCAATTCTTCAAGCCTGCCTTTGATGGTGCCGTCCAGGACTGGTTGAAGCCGCTTTTTCCTGCTGTGCAGCTCAACAAAGAACACGCTTTTGCCCCTGAGGAGTACCTGAGCACCTTCTTGGCGGGTGCAGTGCTGGTGCTCTGGGGCGAGGACAAGGAGGAGTCTTTTGCAGAGGTCCTGTCGAGACACCGCTGTACAGCCTGCACTTTGACGCCGTCTGCACTGTCGGTGCTGGATCCGAAGCGCCTGCCACTGTTGACGAAGCTGGCAGTGGCCGCCGAGGCCTGTCCACCGACTTTAGTGGAGCTTTGGGCCTGCCAGCGCCGGCTTCTAAATGCCTATGGGCCCTCAGAGAATACCGTGGTTGCAACGTCTGCCGAACTCGGAGCCAGCGAAAGCTCCAACGACTTCATCCTCCGATCTGACTCCTTCGACAGCCTTATGTCAACCCCATCGCGACAGCACGTACCCATTGGGACTCCCCTAGGAGGAGTGCAGTGCTATGTCTTCGAAGCCACGGCAGTGAAGTCACTTCAGGACGCCGGGGGGGGGGGGGGGATTCCGGGAACAAACCTGTGCGGGGTGACACATGGTGACACACACCCTCCCCGTGGCAAAAGTGTGTGGCTCTGATTCGAATCGAAGGCCATCGGCACTCCTGGAGAGCTCTGCCTCGGCGGCTCTCTCAGTCCGCTTTTTGCTGTTTTTTTTGTCCTTTTCGGAGCCCTGGCCCTGTCCTTAGGTGGGGTTCAACTGGCCCGGGGATATTTCGGCGACGCAGCGAAGACGGCTGAGAAGTTTGTGATCAACCCTCTGGGATGCCAAAAGATGCAGCGAATGTACAAGACTGGGGATATCGTGACTTGGCTCCCGCAGGGACAGTTGCTTTACCTGGGCCGGAATGATGAGATGGTGAAGGTGCGAGGCTTCCGCATCGCCCCACCGCCGCGCTTAGGCTTAGACTTAAGCGCGCTGAATGAAGGGGTTCTCGAATCTTTGTGAAAGTCTTTCCAGCGGCGAGTCCCTGCCAGGAGCTGAGCGAAGTGGAGGCGGCGCTTGCGGCACTGGGCGCGCAGGTCCGACTCCGACGTCCCAGGGCTGCCCTCTTTTGGGATTGGAACCGCTATCTGTGATCGCTTGACGGCAGGCTGTGGCTGTCGCCGTCAATCCGGTCAAGGACGGGAACAGAGGTCGAGTCGATGCGTTTCTTGGTGCTTACATAGCTTCTTCAAGGATGGTCTATGGGCATGGGTCACTCCTGAGACCCTGTCTCCAGCGACGTTGCGTTCAGAGCTGTTGAAGGCGCTGCAAGCGCCTCAGAATGGAGGACTCCGGATATATGCCGAAGGAGCTTAGTTCCTGCACTTGCATCGCCAAGGCCGCAGTACATGGTACCGACGAGGCAGGAGATGATCAGCGCTTAGGCTTTGAACATCCTTGTTGCGTTCGTGTCAGGATTGCAGTCCTTGAGAAGTTCCCGCTCACACCAAATGGCAAGGCACGGCCCGGCACAGCTCCGTGAGGCCGCGTGGTCGCGCGAGTCTCGCATCTGCGCGCCAGATCGACAAAGCACGGCTTCTGGCGGAGAACTGCTCCGAGGCAGGACGCAGTGATTGTTTTCTGAAATTGCCACTGTCATTGAAACCGGTCGTTGCAGAGCATATATACACTTGGGGCTAGGACAGGTGGTGGTGCCTTTTGGCGATTGGCGGTGCCTCTCGCAAATCCATCGGGCATGCAAAAGGGGTGGTGGCGCCTTTCACACACCGATGGTGCCTTAGGGCGGGAACATGTCAAGCGGGTCGGCTTGAAGTCCGGGGACGCCGGACAGAGAGGTCCAAAACAAAAACCGAAGTAAAGGAGGACAGAAGGAGAGGGATGCGCCCACTCCTTCTCAAGCGTCTCAGGAACAAGAGTCCCGACGACGAAAGATAGAGAGCGCGCACCGGGCCCATGCCCTTGCAGTGAGCAAGATCGCAGGCGCACACGGAGGGCCCGATTGTGGCGCCGCAGTCGCCTCTCGAGCATCGCCTTTGCGCCAGAGGCCAAACAGACAGGTGGTGCTCAGCTGGGTCACTCGCATGAGACCAGGATTGAATGCTGAAAGCAAGGCCACGGCCGCGACGGTGCTTGGATTGGAGACGTTGGGGCACTGTGCCGAGTCTGCCGAGTGATGGTGCGAGAGAGACGCCACACTCACACATTTTCAACACATCTCATCTCAGGGTCACAGCTGACTTGCGCAGCGCAGGGGGCTGAGATTCAGCATCCAGAGACCAGAAGTGAGCAATCACCGAAGCCTGGCGGACTGCACAGTGGAGGTGGGAATGACCTCATTGAAGGCAGTGCTGCTCTCGCAAAAGCTGCGGGATACAGGCATTCGTCGATTTCATATTGGTGTCATGACTGCCTTTGACCAAAGAGACCCCACATGCAGGTCTCACGATACCTCTCTCCAAGCTGTACGAGCTGCAAACCGTTCGGGCACTGGCTGAGCACCTGGCCATGCAGGAGGACGGCGCAGTTAGCATGCAGTGCCATGTAGGGGCCCGCTTAAGGCTCTGAGGCTCTCTGAGAGGGCCGCGGGGGCGGGGCTTCAGAGCGCCAGGAGACGGTCCTCGGTCCTGTGCATGAGGCGTCGACTCCCACGGGCTCCAGAATGCAGAGCAATTAGAGCTCAGCTACGGCGTGCCAGCTGTGCCAGGGTTCTCTTTTCAAGCCCGCAGGCAGATGTGGAGTCCGGCCGCAGATTTGATCTATGTCTCAGTGCCAGTCAGAAGGGCTGCTCAGGCGACTGCACTCTGCTCTGCAGCATGGAGCGCAGCACGAGAAAAGTTGCGCTGAAGCCCAGGGCTCTTCCGGAGCGTGGCCGTGCTTTGCTGGCGGCTGCTTGCATGGGCCCGCGGCCCGGCCGCCGCTGTGGGTCGCACGAGTCGCGCGGGGCGCTGCCTTTTTTGCTCCGAGGTTTGGATCAGCGGCGTCGTGATTTGGCCTGCGATGCTCCCGCTGAAGCTCTCTAGCCAGTTGGTCACGTGTTCGCACAAGACCCCCTCGAACCTGTGGCTTTGGAGAGCAGGTTGGGTCCTGCCTAAACATGTCCCGCAGTCTGCGAATCGCCGTCGGAAGTGAGCAGAGCAGACCTCGCCTCCACTGCCTCCCATTCGCCCACGCTCAGGCTCGTAGTTCGGGCGCAGCCTGGTCGCTCTGTTTCCTGGTGCCGGTGCCTTTTGAACCACAGTCCGCTGACACCCTCAGAAGACATTCACTGGGTTTTGCCTCCAGGCTCGTGGGATATCCGCTTTACCTTCTGCTGATGATTCTGCTCGTCAGTGGCCAAGGAGCTAGGGTGATTCTTGGGCCATTGTGGAGCCCACTGTACAGGTGATCTGCACGAAATGGCTACTCATTGGAAAATACCGAGCAGGACGCGTTCTGACCTGTCTCCAGTCAGTTGACAGAGCTGGGCTGTGCCTACAGGAGCGTGCTCGGTGAATTCCTGGGCGTTCTTGAGGTGGTGGGCAGTGGCCGCTTTCTCTGAACAGATTCCCTCCCCTCGGTTTTCGGGAGTTTTGCCGAGTTTGAGTTTAGGATCGGATGTTGGTCTTCGTGAACGAGCTCTGCTTGGGAGCCTTTCGCGGGGGGCCGGTCTACTTCGCCTACCTTCGCTCGCCGGGGCCTCCTTGCTTCTGAGCCACATGCATTGGACTCATTGGACATATCAACATACCGTAACATACCCATTCATTCTCGGGCTGCAGGCTTGGCTTGCAGGCCGCCGGCTACTGCCGTATCGACACGCGCCACGTCTCAGAGTCACTGCCTGAACATGCCATGCAGAGTGCAGATACGTGCAGACATGAATGCAGAGTGCAACGTGTGGAAATCTGCGGAGCTGCGTGGCATGAGGTTCGACCTTATCTCTTTGGGACGCTGCTGCGTTGTCGCCGAGGGCGCGAAGCTGCGCCCTGCCGCTGCCGAGGAGGGGACAGCCGGGACAGCGGACTACTGCGCCGTGAGCTCTGAGCCAGTCGCTGAGAGGCCGGAGAGCTCCAGCTGCGGCCACTGGCTTTTGGGGACTACTGCGCCGTGGGCGAGAACGCCGCGAGGGGGCCCATCTCGGGACTTGGGGACCTCATCCGCGCCGCGACCTGCCGCGACCTGGGTCGAGTCGTCTCCTCTCCTGAGGTCTGCACGGCTGGCTGTGCAGTGGGTGATCACGTGACCCTCCAGCCCCTGCTCCTTGGCGCGGAGACATAGACTCACATAGACATATAGACATGACATAGACTATTGACGTATTGACGTAGCTACGTCGCAGTCGCTACCGCCTCTCTGGAGCCGGCTGGAGGTCCATGCTGTGTGGGCGCACGGGGCGGACGTTGCCGGATGGCTCGGTCTGGAAGGGCGCTTTGCTGGTACAGTCCAGACAGCAACCGATTCGGGTGCCTGCTGGATTCCTCTGCCTCTCGGCTCGGAATGAATGTCGGCGCTAAAAAAAGCCCCAAGCTTTGTACGCTGCCAAGGCCACGACCTTCTCGGGGACGTTTTTGCTCTGCTCCTCACACTTTTCCTGCAGTTACTCGGCGAAGTCAGGTTTAGTCGAGTCCAATCTTTTCTTTGCCACAGCAGGACAGGCTGCAGTTTGGTGGCCTACTGCACTTTTGGGCTGCTGGCAGAGGCTACTGTACCGCAAGGGGGGGAAACCCACAGAGTTTAGTGCCAAGAGCAGCGTATATAAGCTCTGCAGGCACAAGGATTCGGTGTGGGCGACGCTTGGCGCTGGCAGGTGCCGCTTTGCTGATGGCGCGCGTCAGAGCTCCGTTTAATTGTCCGATCACAGGCCGAGCCCGAAGGCTACCTTTTCGCTGCAACGTGGCTGCTGTTTGGTCCGCCGGTGATGGCCTGCTCCCCAGACCGGTGTCTCTGATGGGGCATGGGACCTATGGAGTGTCTGTGCCGAACCGAGGCCTCTGCCGACGTTCTCTTGGATATTGATTTGGCTGGACTGGCAGACCAGGCCGCCTCGGAATGGAGCGGGAACTCTCTGAGACCTGATAGCCACATACTGGTAGCATGCGCCTCGGAATGTATGCGAGAGGTCATGGCATCGATGGGCCTGAATCAGTGGGAGTTCGGTCTGCGCTTGGCAGGAGCTGTATCTTCAGGAGCCAGGAAGAAATCGGGATTCTCTTTGCTTCACTGCCTCAGGCATGGTGGTGGTGAGTTTCGCGGCGGGAGCCACAGCCTTACTGCATCTCGCGTCTGCAGCTGGAGCCTGAGAGGTTTATGGCTGGTCGCTAACACTGAGCTCAGCGTTTCTCTGCAGGCAGGGTTTCCTGGGCATTGCGCCTTCCATCTTCTTTCGTCTTTGAAGGTACATCCGCGGATCTCGGAACTTGAACTCCTGGTTTTTTCAGGCTCCAGCCAGAGGCAAGCGTTGCTTGAGAGGGCTAGGGACAAGTGCCGATGGCAGGTGCGGCGTGTCGTGCTCAGGCATGGATTGCTGCTGACATGCCAGCTGCAACACTTGGAGCTGTCACGGGTTTGGCCGGTCGATTTCCAGATCGCTTATCGTTTGAGCAGACGGCCATTTTGGGTCTGGTTGGTGAGGGCGATGCTTGATGCGCTTGCTGTGCTGGGCTGTGATCGCATCAATGCTATGCTGCGCTACGCCGTTTGTGCCAACCTTGACGATGATGATAATGATGATCCCAAAGATGCAGCAACTGTCAGCAACCCCTGAAACACATGTCTCGCTGAAGTAAGCTGTTCTTTGACCATTTGACCAGGACATTGACATCCCTTACAGAAGCCCCTTCAACCAAAGCCGAATTGGAGAACGCTGAAAACGGCCTGGGAGCACCTGATACATTTGTCAATCACTTGCACCCTGATTCCAAGCGACTTTTGAGCTCCTGCGCACGGCGCTCATAATTATACTAGTAAGATACGTACAAAAGCCTTCAACGTGCTTACTGACACCTGTCATTGTCCAACCCTTGCCTTCACAAGTCACAAGATCCTTGAAGCAGCGTGATTGGCTTGTGTTAACACGGTGCACACCCATCCCAAAATACGAAGCAACTTGCCGGGCTCATGCCACGGCAAGACCCCCAAAAAGAATGCGTTTTTTCGTGGTGCGCCGAATAAACATCTCGGGTTCAGATGGATTGGAGGCTGACCTTTCCCCGATACCCTGCGCAGTTGGCTGGCACGTGGGTGCGGAGCCAAGAGCAAATGACAGTGTGAGTGTGACTTTGCAGGAGTCGAGAGAGGGGAATGGTTGCCCCGAAATGCATGTTTCAAAGATTTACTGACTCATGGCAAGTACCCTGCATCACCGGTGCTGCGGGTGAAGCCTTAGACGGATTTGGAAGAGTGAAGAAGAAGCAGGAGCTGCTCGAAGATCTTGCTTGCATTCTTTGATTGCATTCTGCCCGTCGAGGCCATGTCACTGTACCTACGACTGCTGGGTGGACGTGTCTCTCTGCATGCCACGGTAAGCGGCACCTGACCTGAAGAGCTTTCCCAAAGCACTGCTAGCAGCAGGTGGCTGTCTCAGAACCACCGTTGGAACCGCGCAAGTTGCACGTGGGAGAGGCCTCTGCTTGCGGGATTTTCTTTGGAAATCCGTCGCGCCCCGGCCGCGTCGCAGGGGGCGTTGCTGCTCACTCACCAAGCCCTGGGTGAATGTGAGGCATCGTTAGGGTTTGCAATGATTGCTGTTGGAGTCACCGCTCAGATGGCAGGTGGGGCAGGGCTCCGTTGTAGGGGCTGGGGCCGTCCTGCTCCCCCATTCACAGGCAAAGAGGGGTTTCAGATTGTTGGGGTTGGGGCACTCCAGCTAATCATCTGAGGTGGAGGCTGGAGCTGTGGTGGGCGCGATGTCGGTGGCCGGCCGGCCTGTGCGTTCCGGTCTGCAGCTGGTGGGTCTGGGGCCTGGCTCTTCAGTGCAACGGCGGCTCTCAAAACGCCTTAAGCTGTGCTTTTCTGAGGCAATCCGGGAGTGATCATGAGGAGGGCAACCCTGGAGCAGGAGCCCATGGCTGGATGGGGAAGACACTTCCTACGAAGGCGACTTCGGTACGCCGTGGTGAGCCGCCCAAACCAGCTGTCGGAAGCTATTCTGAAACCGATGTTCCTGTACAGTCATGAAGAGACCAGGCGGTGCAGCCTCACATTGGTTTGCAAGCAGCATGCATGAAGTCTTTCTAGTCCTACTTGCTCCCAATTTGAGAGCGTGCAAGTTCAAATTGGCCGTCGCAGTCGCAGGTCCGTGAAGTGCTTGTATCCACTGCTGGCGCCCATGTTCCTGCAAATGCTGCTGTTCCCTCCTTAGAGTTGATCCCACTCATCACCTTTTGAAGAGCAGTTGAATGCTGAAGCAAACGGCCTCACACAATATGGCAATTCCTTTTCTTTTCACACCGCAAGCAAGAAACGGCTGAAAGCGCATGCTGGCAGCGCCTGAAAGCGCACGCTTCGCTGTGCGACCCAAGGGTTTTGCGTTCGCAGGCATCCCTGTGAGCATGCGCACACACACAACTCACACACATAAATCAAGAACCTCTTTTCACTGACATGCATTGAGAAGGCGGGTGGGTTTCTGCGGGTCTGGTAAAAAGAGCAGACTCCAGCACTTACGCCGACGTTGGTCAAGGGTGAAAACAGAGTGAGCGAGAGACGTTGCTTGTAAAGCCGCGTCTTTCAGCTTGTCGGACAAGCAGACCATCATTCAGAGGCTCGATGTCAGTGTTGCAGTCTTGCATGTGAAACTAATGACTTTCTGGATGTTGATGAGTCGTACATCTTGCTGAGGTTGACGACCCTGCTACCAGCAATGCCCCTGGGTTGACAACTTTGCATGTTCGCGCTTTCCTGGTGGACACGGGGAAGAGAACGAAGGGGGCAGCATCGCCATGTTTCGAAGTGGGTGGGGATGTATGATTGGCAACATCGTACCGTACGAGTCTGCAAACACGGGACATGGAGATTGAGCTCTGCTGTCGTGGCGATTAAATCCATCATTCTACAGATTCTCCTCAGTGAAACCCGACATGACATGCACACTTCGCTTGCGAAACATTCGTCCGCAGTTTCCTGCCTTGCTGCTTGAATTGCCCTGTGCTCCGACGTCTCTGCCTCGAATCTTTCCAGGTACGTGCTGACCGTGCTGCTGGACATGCTCGTGCGCTCACAACATGGTGCAGGTGGGTCGGGTTAAACTGCATGCCAGCAAGCATTGTGGCCCTGCCTGCCGTGAAGATTCACAGAACGTCAGGTTTGGTGCTGGCTCACAGCTTAGACCTGCAGCTGTGCTGGTGCAAGCTTTTAGATTCTTCTACTTTCAGGCTGCATCTCTGCCAGCAGCCTACGTGGCACTGGGTTGGTGCTTGTGTCTTCTTGCGGGCCTGCCATGTTGGGTTTACTTTCTGGATGTCGCAGAGCAGTGTTTGCCCATTTAACCGGAAAGGCAGTGCTGGTGCACCGGTTACTCTCTGCCTCTGTGAATGGCTCCTGGTGTGCGCAGCGACCCCCAGTCTATTTAAATTGAATCGGCCATTAAGTCCAAGCGCCTCTGTGGCACAGCGCGGCTGACTGCGCAAGGTTCGGGTCGGTGCGGCACTTCCTTGCCACGCCGCATCCCAAGCATAAGTTAATTATTGGCTTGTCCTCGATGCAGCTGAGCACTCGCGTGTGTTTCGCTAACCCTCATTCAGACCACGAGGTTCACTGAGCAGTTGAACTCGATGTCCATTGCCATCTTCATGGGCTCGGCACCCTCGTGAACTTCTCGCTCTGCTTGCGCTGCCTCGCTCTGTCAAGGCATGGCCTTCGGCTCGCCATTCTACAACTTCTGGCTCAAGGCTCTTGTTCCGTCGCCGTAGCCCGGAAGCACCTTGAGCAGATGTCGACAAAACGAGGCCATGGGCGCGAACGTGGCCAGCGACGCCCTCCTCTTGCTTCGTGCTGAACGGGGGATCCGGAAATCTGCTATAGACATGGACAAGGATTCCGATGCTCAGGACAGCTGTGGCCGGCGATTATCGGGCTTTGAATGTTGGCCGCGGGGCTTCCGTCGACAAAGAGGCGCCAGAAGAGCTTCAAACGAGAGCCCGTGGAAGCGGAACCTCAAGCGGCAGTCATGTAGGATCTGGGGGTCTGGGGGTGGCAAGCGTCTGAGAAGATAGAGGCGCATGCCAGCTTGCAAAGTTCGCTGGCCACGTTGGCCAGGCAGTGCTGTCCTGCAGACGTTTGCTTCCAGGTGGGCATGGGCGGGGGAGGCTTTTTGGAGAAGCTGGGCTTCTCTACTTTCTACAGACTGCTGATACAAAGACTAGGAATCCCAGTCCCAGCCTGTGCTGCATAAAACGAAGCTCCCAACTCAGGACCGCAAGGTGCGGGGTCGGGGACTCAGGAAGCTCGGTCTCTGCAACAGAGATGCAGCATGACAACACACTGTCAGCCCTGAAGAACCTCCGTCCAGATCCCTGGTAGGAAGTGTAAGGACTCAAGCAGCGCCATCCCCGAAAGAACAATACAGCAGATGGCAGCGGCTCCGCTTCCGAGCCCAGGTTCTACATCTGCCAAAGTCGCGTGGTCATCGGACCCGGAAGCAGCGTCTCGCATTCGGCTGCAGTTGTCGCAGGAGAGACAGGTCAGGCACAGCACGGACAGTGCGCACGGCCAGTGCACACGTCTTTGACAGGTAGTTTGAGCACTCTGGCGCCTTTGTCCGCTGTTGAAAGCTCAGTGGCTCCGTCAACTCTGCTACTCTCGAACTGCGGGGGACGGGTGACACAAACCGAGCCTCAGGTCGCACCCTCGACGCGGCTCCCTGCCCAGACCTTCGCAGTTGGCCGCAGCCGAAGAGTCCTAGGTCCTAGGTCCTATGCGAGTCACGCGCGAGTCACTGCGAGGAGTCAAGGGGCGGGTTACGGGTTTCTTCGTCCCGAGCTCTCAGGTCTGCCACCTCAAGCATTTCCATGGTCCAAAGCCAGCCTGGTGAAGCCCAGTGCCAGACCGCTTCCGCGAGAGCTGCCCGCCTCCCAGTCCTTCCGATGTGATGTTCCCTCGATCTCCCCCCGATTCGTCGCGGAGGCGCCCGCCGATCCTGCTGCCCCTCTTCGTCAGCCGAGCCATTGGCCGGATGAAGGCGGGTGCCACAGCCATCGCGCCACAGCCGACAGCGGCCAGGGCCATGTCATGGCCATGGCGTTCCCCCCATCTATGGGCAGGTCTTGCAGGGACAGCAAGCCGTCGACTTCACGCCCTTGGTCACCGGGTCCACAGGCTTCCTGGGAAGGAGCGCCGTGCGCGAAAGAAAGAGAGCTGCGGTGCGCAGACAGTCGGCACAATCGCATGCAGGAGCATTGTGGCGGCGCTCCTGGAATCGGGGGCATGCAGTCGGGTCTTTTGTCTAGTGCGCGCTGCGGACCCTGCAGCCGCACAGCAGCGTGTCATGGAGGTCAGGCTTGCGCCGAAAACTATACTATAGCTAGACTTTGGTAGGACTGACGAAGAAATGAAGAACTGTCTGCACGTCTGCAGGCAGCCAAGAAGGCGGGTGCCACTGACTTGCACCTTCTCGAGGCTTCGGCTGGGGCCGAGGTGACAGCGGTGACAGCGCCTCGCCTCCTCTGTCAAAGAGGCTGTGCCTGGAGATTTGCAGCAACGAAATTTCGGACGACCCCTTGCCGACGTGCAGCGTCTAGCAGGCTCCGAGCTAAGGCAGAGCTCGCCGAGTAGCCGTTTATGCTGGCAGCCTAGGCCGCGTCACACATGTACTCCATTGCGCGGCGAAGGCTTGCCAGGCTCAGTATGGGCCAGGAAGTCGATTTCAGGTGAACTTGTCAGGTGAACTTGACTGAGCCGTTTGAGCTCATGAAGAAGGACAGAGCCGCCATAGCCGCCGTTATGGATTGGTTGGGATTGGTCTAAGTGCATGCAGGACAATGTCGACGCAACGTCTCATCTTCTGGAGTTCTGCTGCATGTCCAGACCAAAGCCTTTCCACCATATTTCCACCATGGGTATTCTGACGCCCGGGGGCCTACTGGTAGTGAGTGCCCTGCGCTCTCTTGCGCTCAAAATTCGCGCCTCTGCTGAGGCCAGATATGCTGGACCGGGGCACGGGTTTCTGAGCAGTCGAGCCTTGACCCGTCACTCGGCGAGGACCGACACGGCAGCGTCCGGGAGAATGCCACACTGGGGGACATCCGAGCCTTGCCTCTTTACGGAACTGGTGACCAGGCCGAGTGCCTTTGAGGGCTTAGGCTTAGGCTTAAGACTAAGACTTCGCCGCCTTCGGACACTTGCCGATGCGAGGCCAATGGCTACCCTCAGAGCAAGTGGCTGGCAGAGGTGTTGGTGCTGGAGGCAGCGGGCAGCTGCTCGCCGCATCTCGCCGCTTCGTCGTGTGCTCGCTCTTTTGCAGGCGGCCCGGCAAGGCCTGCCTTGCTACATTCATCGGCCTGGCCTAATAGGTTCCTTGCCAGCATGGATCCATTGTCCATGGGGCGAAGCATGGCCGATGCGCAGGCGGCCATTCTGTGACGGGCGCAGCCGCCGAGGACGTGTTCTTCCACTTCCTGGCAGATGCCCAACCCTCGATGCTGAGCTTCCTTTGCAACCACATTTACTTGGGAAGCCTGAGGTGCTGAAGCTCCGGCGTCTGCCGGGAATGGAGGGTCGCAAGTTTAACGTGACGCCCGTGGACTGGGTGGCCAAGGCGGGCCCCCGGAAATGCTGCGCAGCCTTCGCGCATGCGCGGCTCCTCTTAGCCGAGGCGATTGCTCGCATAGCTCTCCCTGGCTTCCTCGAAGAGGGCCCAGCGGCCCAAGCTGTCCAAGCCATGCTGGTCTTGGGCCTCGCCGCGGTCGCCGCGCTCAGGCAAGCTTCCCAGCGGCAGCGTCTTCCATCCGGCCGCGCCTGGTGCTGAGTCTCCACAGCCAGCCTCTGCCTAGATTAGAGCTTTCGCCGTCGGGACAGTGTCAGTCAGGGCTGTCGGCTTGATGAGACATGCCGTGCCGCGTGCAGGCCGAACAATGCAATCACCACTAACGTGCTGGCTGCCGTGCTGAAGCGCTTCGGGCACGAAGCCTCGGTTCTGAGTTGACTGTCAGTACTTATTCTTGGTTCTTGCCTGTGTAGAGGTCTTGTCTTCATCTCATGCTAGAAATCGCATTTCCACACTGCGTGTTTCGGAAGCACTCCACATTAAGTTAACAGTTTCAACAACAGAGACGAAAAAGAGGTACGGGCATCTGGCGTTCATGGATTTTGCCTACGCCCCAGTTGCGGCATGCCCGTTCCGACGTCTGGCACTTCGAAGCAGATGATGAGGTGGACTGGCGCGACTCCATTGTCGGGTCTCCTCTGGAGCCGAGCTCACCATGCTCATGCTGCGAGTCTGTGTTCTAGCCGTGCATGGCCCGTCATGGCCAGTTTTTTCTTTATGCGTAGGACTTCAAGAGCTGGTCCTTCTGCGCAGCTCTGAGCGTTGAGGCTCCACCCTAATTCCGCCCGTGGGCGGTAACTCGGCGATTTTCGGTTCTGTGTCACAGGGGGATGGTATCGACTCCATGGCCGAGACGACGCTGGGTGCTAAAGCTATTCGGGAAGCAGTTGGTGAGGCCTCGGCGCCGCGGCAAGTGGTTTGCCTCCTTTTTAGGGGCGCATGTTTCATGTAGATTCATGCATCGCAGGCCTTTGACAACTACGACCCGGCTGACTGTTTGGTGCGCATGCTGCGGTGGTACACCGCTCAAGGAAGCAACGTTGCTTTCAGAATCTTGATGCCATGCCATGCGCGTCTGCCTGGGAGCCACTGGGAGCCGGCCGACAGGGAATGCTAGCGGAAGCTGCGCAAGGGGGCATGGACACCAACAGCTGTAGGATGAGATGCAAGAGAGCTTCTCCAACTAAGACAAGCCAATCTGACGTTCGCGCATCCGCGCTTTTTGCTGTCTGCACATGCCTCAGGCCCAAGGGTCTTTCGAACGCACAGGCATGAGATGGGCCTCCAGAGATCCAAGGAACCGCAGGGGCCAAGCGTAGACCAGAGGGAACAGAGGGAACGGACAAAACCCCACTGCGGAGGCAGAGCAATCGGGAAAGTCGGGGAGAGTGCTTTGCCCACGGTGTTGAAGACCTGAGTTTGTAACCCCCTTCTGGACCAGCGCCGGGTTCACCAGTGCCTTTGTGTTTTGAGGATGTGTTGGTTCCGTCGACTCTGTTCGTTCTGCCATGGCCACTGGAGACTAGAAAGCCAGGACTTCTGCCACAGCCGGAGTCTGCTCGGCCCGATGCAGCTGGTTGAGGGCCGCGGGATGGCTTTGTTGCCGGTTTCCGGCATGGCCAGGAAGTGTGCAGAGTGATGATTTCTTTAATAAATTACTAAACCCTGGCACAGGGCACTTGGCATCGAGCCGGGGTTAGAACTGCGCCTGCGAAGCAGGAAAACACAGTTCGTTGGACCCATCGCCAGAAAGCTCGCGTAGCCGCGGCGTGGCCCGTGCAGCCAAAGTTAAAGTTGCCAGGCCTGGACCTACAAAAAGTGCCCCGCGCCACGGTGATCCAAAGCGCCGCAAGCTCCGTGAGTCTGTAGCTTTATCTTGCGGAAACTGTAAGCAGCCATCCGGGGTTTTCGACCAGCGCTCGCATCCGCATAGTATACGACCCCCCACCCTTGAGATTCAGAATCGTCACAAGGGCACACCTTACGTGGACATGTTCATTGAAGCCATGACACTCAGCCACAGACTGCACGTGCTGCATAGCTGGAAAGCCATGTCCGTATTATTAGCTGTGCTGGCTGTAGTTGTGGTGTGGGCCTGGCTCTTTCTGGGGTGCATGAGAACCCGCGGTCAATGGATGATGATGCCCTGCCAGGATCTTACTGATGCTGCGGCTTTTTGCAGCAGATGCGTGGCTCTCAGCAGTCGCCAGTGTCGCCATTCTCAGAATCTGGGCGTCTTGCAGCATCTCGCAGCTGTTCCAGGTATATGACGCGGTCATCGTGTGGATGACAGCGCGATGGTACCAGGTTCCCGGTACTTGAGACGCCCGGGAACAGCTCCCGTTCACGGAGTTCACGGCAGGCTGTCTTTCAGCGCCTGAGCAAGGGCGACCGCATCCTGGATGTCTGCCGCCTTAGCAGTCGGAGTAATTCCGGCAGTGCCGCCGCTTTATGCATCGAGGTGGGCATTGGGACGGCGACAGCCTTGGTTCGCAACAAGGCACGAGACCAGCATGTGGTGAGCCGAGAGAGGGCTCGGCCATGTCACCTGAAGCGGGCAAGGGACACACCGACCTAGTCGCGCACACGTGCAGGAGTTGAGGGTAAGGCTCGGAAATTGCATAGGCGACCGATCCAGGTTTTTTACGTTGAGGAGAAACAAACTTTCCGAGCGAGAAAGGTAGTTTCGAAGCGAGAAACTAACTCCACAGGAGCGGGAACATGTATGTAACTGTATGTAATTACACGGCGCATGCGAAACTTATACTAGGCATCGTCTGCTGGTCGTGGATTGAACAATCCGAGGGTTTGTTCTGGTTCAGCCGGCATGGAGCTCCAACAGCACCGGGGTATAGTAACTTGTCTGATGCCACCAACCCTTGGCCGAACACCGTTTGGAACACTGTTTGTTCTCGCTAGAAATTCTCAGCAGCAACAGACCCCAACCAGAACCGCTGTAAAGGCCTTGGTGAAGGGGGCTGGGCGCCCCAAACCGGATCGGAGAGACCGGCAAGACGCCAGGCAACCAGTCGCAGTCAGTAAGGCTAGTTCAGGCCGAAGCCCAGAAGATCTGTAACAAGATTCAGAGGCTTGGGCGAACGCGGCCAAGCCTCCGCTGTGGCGAAGCAATGCCTGGGCAGGATATTACGACTCGGTGCCCTACCCCGAGCACGCGCTGAGAAGAAACAGCTCAGAAAGCTGTGGCGGCTGAAGGCGTTCACGCCGGCGATGCGCCTCCGCTACAGCTGGGCTGACCCAGTCAAGGACGGTGTCTAGCGACCAGTGTCTACAAAAGGAGGTTCGCCTGCGCAGACGTGATGCGGGCCTACACCGCCGAACAGGAGCAGCTCGTGCACCACTTTGGTCGTCCGGATGCTTGAGCGGTAGGCCCCGCCGTAGCGGGAAGCACCGCCACCGCAAGTGCTGTGGAGGGAATTCCAGCCCAGCACCACCCTCGTGATTGGAAAGGGGTGCGAGAAAACACGCAGTTTCCACCCAAGGCTTGAGCTGGGCTACCCCCATTTGTAAAGTGTGTACAATTACCACCGCGCAGCTTCCGCAGCCCTTTGTGGGGGCGTGTCTGTTCAGCCCAAGTTGGGCCCGCAGGACCCAAGCCAAACCGTGTTTATATTTTAGCTGTCGCAGTCACTGATGCGGTCCACATCGACTGCGTTGGGTTACAATATGTGTGGGGGGAGTAGAAGGCCTGCCAGAACGGGTGGTTGGCGTCCAGGCTAAATAATGATTTCGACGACCCTGGTTCTTGATTTCTTTGGCTGGCTTTGTTTTTGGATTACTTGTACATGCGGTTTGGGAGATTCTGCCAACAGTCTTCTGAGCCTGTTCTTTGGTTGTCGCAGGCGGAGCTGTTGGACCGACGACTCTCTGTCGTGGGCATCGACTACGAGGTTCGCTTTGTCCCTCCCTCCACTTCCCTCCCCTTCCCTCCCCTTCCCAGTGCAGGCAGCCTATGTTCGCAAAGCGGAGGCACTCTTGGGCAGCGCAGCCTTTCAAGACAGCTCGCCAAAAAGGACGTTCCCTCGCCACTCGAAAAGGCCGTGCTGCGGGCCGAATCTCTCTGGCGGCCAGCTCCTGCTGGAACCGAAGGGTACCGACAGGGAGAGCAACGAGCTCGGGAAGAGTGCAGCCTATGGCCTAGGGCCTATAGGGCCTAGGCCTGCGCCGTTCACTGCCATGGCTCAGGTTCTACTGTGCGGACCTAAGTCTGGGACGACCTGTGCCTGCAAGCCTCGGGCCAAGCTTTGCAGAGGCCATGTCTTGGAGCGTTCCATCTACGACAACCTGTCTGACCTTTGTTTCCAGGTTGGAGGGTCCCTGCACGTGTCATAGTGTCACGAAGCGATCCGCGAGGTGGGCGACGAAGCTTTCACTGGCGAAGTTCCCAAAGAGGTGCCGGAGGCAGGCGCGGGGTCCGCGCGAAGCGACCTTCGCGAGGTCGAGGTGCTAGGCTGAGGAATGGAAAGAGCACAGAGCGTTGCAGAGCGCGGGACGGGCCTTCCTTGCAGGAGATGCGCTTTGATGCCGTCTACTTCTCCGGTTCTTTTTCCGTCCCTGAACCAGATCTTGGGCGATCGGAGTTTCTCGCTGTTGGGCCATCGAAGGTCTTGCCTGACCCGCCTGCTGCCCTCAGGGCAGGCCCATTGCAGGGCAGACAATCGACGTTCAGTCTCTCCCGCATCGGATTCTGTCTGTCCTTCCATCCGGCTGATCTCACCTCTTTGTGTCCCCCCTGGCAGTTCTGCCTCTGATGAAGCGCAACGGACGCGTCTTCATAACACAGCGGGACCCTGAAGAAAAAAGGGGTCTCGGAGAGCGCCGTCAGCCCTGGCCGCCTGCTAAGGACCTTCCAGAAGAGATCTTCGCCGGTGACGGCCTTCTTGAAGCCGCTGCAGGGTGCCCGGGTGCCATCGGGTGCCCCTGTTTCACGGCGCAGCAACTGGGTTCCTGCTGTTTGTTCGTCAAGGCTGAAGTACATCACCACCATCGACTTTGGCCAGCTCGTAACCGAGGTGGAATCCGCCCTTCGCCAATTGAGTTACTGGATGGTTTGGTTCAGAGCTTGGAGGCAGATCTTGAGCGACTGATCTCCAGCGCAGGGTGTTTCGAAGTCCTTGAGCCTCAGCCTCAGCTGCAGCTCCGCATAGCCGCAGCACGCGACGGTCCATCCATCCAGGAACAAGCCCATCCCCGGCTCCGTCTCGACCCAGCTCCAGACTGCCAGGCTTGTTATTCTGAAAGCGGCACCGGCCTGAGCACCTCTATTTACTCTATTTGCCCTTTCGCCGTCTTGCAACTTGGGACTCTGCTGCCGCAATGCTGCCCTGTTCCTTGCTGGAGGCGTCTTGACCTGCCGCTTTCGGGCAGAAAACTGGTGCTCTGCCCTTCAGCAGACAGTGCTGAGACAAAACACGGATGCGAAGCCCTGGCAGCCCTTATGGCCCAAGAGTCGCGACGCCTTCCACACAGAGCAACTGCCTTCTACGGAGTGCGTAGGTCCTTTTAGGTCCTTTAGGTGCAAGCCCTCGCTCAGGCTTCATACATCGTTACAGACTTGAACGTGCAGCCATGGCAGACATTTGCAGCGAGACGGGCCTCTTCGCCAAGGGTGGAGGTGGAACTCGAAAAAGAGCCAATGTGCCATCCACGACTGTCACGACTGCTTCGCCCCGAAGACTCTCCTCTGGTAGAGGCTTCAACGACTGTTTCGCGCACGTCGTCCTGCAGGTGCTTTCCGAATGCCTCCAACATCATGACAGGACTGCAGTGTGAGCAGATGCCAGGCTGCCATTGCTGGGTTGGCATGCATCGGCGTCCTCGTTGGGTCCATCATCATTCGAGATCTTCCCAGGAGCGGCAAATGGCGAACGCTTTCAAAAAGCTGGTAGACTGCCGCCAGGCTAAGGGTGCAACAGTCGAAGCCCATCGATGGCATCCGCGCAGCCTCCAGCGGATTGCTCTTTTTGGCACGCCTCTCAATGCTCCCATCGGCATGTCGGTGTCCTCTGAACATCTGAAATTTCCTGGACAGGTGGCCTTGGTAGAGTTTTTCATCGGCATAAGCGCTTCTGAGGCGCTTGCAAGGGAACGCGTCTTCGCCGTGATGATCCGTGATGCCTGCGACACGACTGCAGGTGATCAACTTGTCGCAGGGTGTCGGCGGTGGCTGCCTCGCTGTGGCCGTGTGGAGCTCGAAAGCCCCTGCTTGACTCACCCGTGGATGTCTTGTCCGCCGCGTGCTGGCAAACTTGAGGCCATGGTGGTGAACTTCTGGCAACAGCAGGCACCGGGACCGGCACCCGAGTTTCCTGCTTGGTGGAGCGTGCCCACCTCGATGCAAATTTGAGTTGACGTGATTGCGTGTTTTTGGCTCGTCTGTGCTTCTTTTCTTCAGTGGATCTGATGTACACCTGTCATATCCCGTCATTGTACTTGGGGTGGAGTTTTTTTTTGCGGTGTCCGCGGGAGTGGACGCGGGCCGCGCGAGGCCGACGGGTTGGCCGCGGGCCGTTCCCCCCCGGGCCAACAGAAGACTTCATGCAAGGATGGCAATGGCGCCCTCCTCCTCCTCCTCCTCCCAACCATTTCCACTCAATTCGGCCATCCCTCCTCATCCAGTGGACGGCGTAGGGCTGGGCCGAGATCCCCAAGTACAACATGATCTGCACTTCAGCAGCGCTTGGGTGATGCGATTGCTATGGAGAGGCACTAACCCTGGAACACTATTCAGCACGGGTGCTGTTCTTCTGCATGGTTGCCGCAACCTGGTTGACAACTACGGTGGGTCAGTGGCTGCCCGTCTTCTATTTGTCTTTTGCTGGTCCTTGAGTGGTCGGTTAGTTTCAATCTTGGTTGGACGAGACAGCTTTGAGGCGCGAGGCTGGGACCATTATTCGGTCTTCGGTCACGATCATCTATTGAAATTGCGGCAACGATTTGCGTCGAAGAAACCGCAAGAAAGTGTGTGTGTGTGTGTATGTGCAGGAATGTGTGTGTGCGGTGTATTGACGAGCAGTTGCTCAGTTGCCTGGCTCTCGGCACCGCGTCTGCAGGAGACAAAGCGCGGGCTGACCGAGAGCCTGGGTCTGAAACTTTGGTGGGTGCTGGCCACCTTGGCACAGGCGCCGTGGTGGTGCCGCAACCGGTAGGACCCGGTAGGAAGGTGAAAATGCCACTGGCTGCACGAATGGGTTTCCTTGGCCGGATCGAAACGGGAATGCTGGGCACATGGTGTTGCAGGTGATCACAACCTACGACCGCGCCTCCAAGCCTGGTGGGGTCCAGCACCCGGAGGAGAAAGGTGAGGTTCTTGCAGGAAGTTTCCCGGCTTTTTCAGGTGGCGCTGGCTTTCGAAGCTGTGGAGCTTTTGCTGTCTGTGGCATCCGCAGCGGTGACACCTGCCAGATTCAGTTTTGAGCTGTGAGCTAATTGGCTGTCTCACACCCACGCAAGCTTCGAGCCCTTAAGCTAAGTCTTGCGGCCAGGCGTACTTGGCGCCTTCTGGACGAAGTGGCTCCACCCGAGAGCCGCCGCTTCTCAGCGAGGAGACTGGGCTTTTTGGTCTTCTACCGCACGGATGTCTCATTCATGTCGAAACTGAACACGCCTGTGTTTAGCTCTGCTGGATGGTGCCGCCATCAGGAGGATGGGATTTCAATGGTCGGTGGTGGGGGACGATTTGTCAGCTTCTCGTTTGTGGCAGTTCAAAGTAGATCTTTCGGATTCCAGCTGCGCTGCAGGCACGAAGCTTGAGCACCCGCGAACCTTCTCCCGAGGTCAGGCCGTGAACACTCGCCAATGTGTTGTTTAGGTTGTGGTTTACATTGGCGCAGCGTTGGCGCAGGACCAAGTGGGCATCATCGGTTGGCTGGTTGCGGGCTCATGTGGCCTCGAACTTGACAGCGACATTGTGCCAAGAGCTGCGGAGGGAAGCTGGCAGATGTACAGTAACGACTAAAACCGCAATCCTCGGGCTTCGACCCCTAAATTAGTCCTCGAGGCCTTCAGCTGGTTCACGCCCATTGTCGATTTGGCCTTCCAGCGCGACAAGGCCCATATGACAGATGCGAAATGCGGCGGGCGCATTGCACATTCGGTGTCCGAGGAGAGCGGGAAGCTTGAGCCCACCGATGTGTACCCGCTTACGAACAGGACATTGTCGAACGGGGGCTGTGACATTCGCACTTGCGTGCTTTGCCCGAGGAACGTGGCAAACAAGCAGCTGGAGCGTTTGGACCAGCAGTGGCAGGCCGGTGGAGGCCGCACGCTTTTTGTTCGCCTCCGCGGACAGCGTCGAAGGTGGAGCTTCAGAAAGAGAAGCCTGCGCTCCTGTCTGCGATGACGAGAGCATTCTTCGCCGAGGCTTCGCCATGGGCCAGTCCAGTGCAGTGAGTCCGCCATGCTGTCTGCACTGCGAGGTCTTCAGCACGGCTTGGGTCAAGCTCCTCAACGATGTGCTCCATTTTGCTTCTTCCTCAAAGTGTCGAATCCCCTCCCTACATGTCAATGTGCCATAATGTGCCCCGTTTCCAGGTCGGGCCCTTCCTTCTCAACAGGCCCTGCCCGCCCGTCCCTGATACAACAAGGCCCCAGCTCGGCGTACCTCGCTCTGCAGGATCATCAACTTCGTCAAGGGCACGGGCGAAGAAGCCGGAGAAGAAGCTATTCTGCACTTTGAGCATCTTTGAGCGGTCCCAACGTGTGCCACTTCGTGACAGTTGACAGGAACTGTGGGTTGGATATGCTTATGCCATTGGAATGGTGCTGTCGTCAGCTTGCCAGGCTGGGTGGCGCATCACAAGCACGTGCGTGCGTCCACAGATATGGGAGCCTGAGGCTTTTCTGATGGCCCACTACTTCCAGGGTGGCTATCAGCCTGTGGCCCAGCCCGAAGCAGCCTTCACTGAGCCCGCAAAGGGTCTTTGTCTGCAGTATGCACCATCTAAGGACGGGAATGCGCTTGCGCACGGCGCTGATCCTGATGTCTTACAGCAAGGCCGCCCCCGCCCCCTTGGGCCCTTGGGGTCCAGGACATCGGCAAGCTGCGGGGTGGCTCCGACTCTGAGGCGCTGCGAGTGTTGCCCTGGCCCAGTCCGCCGCCACCGGAGGAGCCAGCGGCGGCCCGCGGCCCCAGCACCCTGCTCTCTGTCTCTCTGCCACGTCGCATCGCCTCTCCACGGGGGGTCACAGGCCGAGCCAGAGACTCGCCGATGCTGCAAGAAGAAGCCGCTCGGAGCGTCCGATCGAAGGAACTCGGGTCTTTGCCGCGTTTTCACACGCTGCCCCAGGCCAAAGAAGAAGCCCAGCCTTCCAACCGGCGGCATGGGGTGGGGAGCGCAGAATGCGCAGAGCCGCAGAGCCAGCGAACTGCCGTGAAGCCCTTCCTTAAGTCCAGGCAGATGACAAACATCATCTCCGCTGACACGGAGCCATGCTGGGCAACAGTTTCGGGTAGCAAGATGTGTTTTGACAGCCATGGTACAGGCAGCTTAGTTGCTGCACAGCTTGTTGAAGCCGCCGAGAGGACAAGTTCACTTTTCTCATGCCGTACTTCAACCTTATCTGGTCTTGCCCCTTACAGGCAGAAGCCGCCGAGAAGCTTAAGACGTGAAGCCGAGACAGCATGCTCTCAGATTATCATCTGTTTCGTCATGCTCTTCAACTACGTGAGTTGGTCACTCTTCGCCGGCGTGGTGGCCACTCGTCATGCTATGCAGCGCGATAGAGAGCGCGAGAGGGAGAGAGAGAGAGAGAGTGCAGAAGAAGGGCGAGAGAGAGAGAGAGCGAGTTCGTTTTCCTGGGTTCTTTTTTGTTGTTGTTTGTCATGTCTATTGCGGTCGGTTTCCTGAGTCCCTGGTGCTTGTTTGCTGTTGATAGCTATGTCTATTGCGGCCGGACTCCTGTGTCCTGGGTTCTTGTTTGCTGTTGTTTGCTGTCTATTGCGCTCGATCTCCTGCTGTGTCCTGGCTTCTTGCTTGCTGTACATGTCTACTTCGGTCGGACTCCTGTGTCCTGGCTTCTTGTTTGCTGTTGTTTGCCTTGTCTATTGCGGTCGGGCTCCTGTGTCCTGGGTTCTTGTTTGCTGTTTTTTGGCATGCCTGCTGCGGTCGGACTCCTGTGTCCTAGGTTCTTGTTTGCTGTCGTTTGCTATGTCTATTGCGCTCGGACTCCTGTGTCCTGGGTTCTTGTTTGATGCTGCTTGCTATGTCTATTGCGGTCGGACTCCTGTGTTCTGGGTTCTTGTTTGCTGTTGTTTGCCATGTCTACTGCGGTCGGACTCCGGTGTCCTGGGTTCTTGTTTGCTGTTGTTTGCCATGTCTATTGCGGTCGGACTCCTGTGTCCTGGGTTCTTGTTTGCTGTTGCTTGCC